TAACAGTTAGCAAACATGCACATTGTGAAGACTATGATGTGAAAATGGTTGCATTAAAAAGGTCTCTGTTTGGAAGTCGGAAATAAATACACTCAATAAATACATTGTGGCGTTACCTTGGGAAATGCTTGGATGTAATGTGAATAATATGTGATTTCTAGTTAACATGCAAAACCACTGGTCTGGTCCTGGTCTGCTCAGGTGCTACACTAAAGAGCTCCAGGGCAGCGGGGGATTATCCTGCAGGTTACTAATTCCCGCGGGACTCCAGCTCCCTACTTCCTCCCAATAGGGACCAATGGCCAATGCAACTTCCTGCTAGCCCATAAACAAACAATGCAGTCAACTGAAGTCAGGCTGAAAATCCTCCGGTGCCACTTAAAGAGGTCAAGAGGTATACACCAGTAATAACTTTTACCTAGTGCCAGTGACAGTTATATGGCTGCCTAGTTTGGCTGTACTGCAAAAGGAACAAGCAGTTTAACGACTTGATCCTTTTTCTCCCCATTTCTGAGGGCAGCCACCCCCCTGGAGGGGAGAGTTGCGTAAAAGGAATAAATCAAAGCAAGGAGGATGAGAAACATAATATCATGGGAAATTATGTGTAGAATTGGAGAAGAATAAAACCTATTTTGACAAACATGTTTGCGAGAAGCCTGTTTTTGCAATGTGTTTGTTTTATTCTGCTTGAAAAAACAGCGTTAATCAAGGAAGCTGGTAATAAAAGTGCAATGAGAAGTGCTGAGAGACAGATGTGTTAACTTGTGTATGTGTGTGAGTTTATCAGAGTCCGCAATCAAGTGGTGTGGGGGTGGCCCTCCCTTCCCCTGTCAACAAAGCTATAACTAACTCAAACGTCAAAAACATGCTAACTTAAACAAATGTTTTAATTTCAGATATCAGGCAATGACAAACGATCTGTGTAGCATTCCTCTGACGTCATCCCATCGCACTAAATACACATCCATACACCATTATTTGAACAATACACACATTCATACAAACACAAGTACAGGAATCTGCCCGTCTACAGTGAAGCTAAACAAAACCCACATCCCACACTACTAAAAGGCCCGTTTCAACACTTGTGTAATTTCTCAACAAAATGCGGGGAAACCACCCCTCTCTCAGGGTCGTCAGACATGTCTTCATTTGGGCAAGTTGCAACACACAGTGATCTCTGATTAGTCCTAAAAGTCCAGCGAGCGCTTTGGGACACATAGACCTCCGCTTCAAAGAGCAGGAGGAAATGTCGCACCCTTCCTGAACCAAATGACGTGGTCGAGATGTGATGAGCAGATTACACATCCAAATAAAAAAAGTGCTAAGGCACATAAAAATATAGACACAAATGGACAAAAGCACCTACAAACAAACACACACACACACACACACACACACATACACACACATTACTGATTAGTAATGTTCAGTAAACAGAGCGAGGTCGGACCATGACAGTTCAAAGCAGATTCATTATATTCAGTGCTTTGGTTCATGACATTCCCATGTCCTTCCATCACTCAGGACAATGAGCTTTTTTTATACAGACTGGAAACAGAAGTAACTTTAAGGGATTCCCCAACTGTTCTCACTGAGGACAACTCTTTTGTTTTGTTTCCTCTTATCGCAGACACCTCTTCACCCCTCAGCCACACTCCTCTATTAATATTTAACCATACTGTATTTTTCTTTCTCTCACTTATAGGCTGCTCGATGTCTTAAAAAGGTAATAGCATGGGCGGAGGACACACAGCAGTGCTTCTACATGTCACTCCCTTAGCCTGGTTTGTCATAGGATCTAGCGATGTGTTGCTTGCGAACAAGTTGTGTCTATGAGCCGGCTCTTGTAAGTGAACGATGGGAGCTGGTTCCCGTCTGAGAGGCCAGTACCCTTTGTGTGTGTGTGTGTGTGCATACACGGCACAGCCCTTGAATGCAGACCTGCCCTTACTTGACTCCTTAATCTTCAGTTTCCTGCCCTCCCTCTCCGTATCTCAGTATAAAAACTTCATGCCACTGTGAATCCTCCCTTGTTTCGCCTCTGCCCGCCCTTCTCTGTATCACACCACAACAGCTTCATGCCTTCTTGTTACAGCTCCCTGTGCCATAGCTCCTCCACTCCTGCTGTTTCCACAAGGGCACTGCACAAAAACTGTGCTTGGCTTGGTTCCAAGCACCGGGGCCCACATACCTCCCAATCTCTAGATTAAATAGCGCCAGTCTCTGAAGTCCTTCCAGGGGCTAATGGCTTTTGTTGCTGGGAATAATCCACACATCCTCTCCCACATCCTGGGGGTCCGCTGGCCTGTCGTGAACCCCGCCTTTACCCTCTTCATCTCTCTCTCATCTCCATCTCAATCTACGCTTCCATTTTGGTTGACCTCCCCGCCTTCCAATGGCACAACCCTGTGGTTAAATGTGGAGGCATGCAGGACTGAACCACCCACACTGAGGGGAGGATGCAGGGAGTTGACATTGGGTTGAGACCCATGCAGAGTTTTATAAGGAATCAGTGCAGGTGCTGTCTGAAGCTTAATGAAGGCTCTAAATCTCTGCTCTGTCATCTGCAGCTAACTGGAGTCTAAGCAGCCAGGGCAAGACGGATAAGTGCCTGGGAGCTATCCTCATAAGGGAAAGAAAACATCCGTCAGGCCACAGCAGAACAGCCTCTGTTACCACTTGATGTCCATTCAAAATAAATACAGCAGGGAGACAGAATTTCACAAAATGAGGGGAAAGATTTTCCATAGATCAAAGAGCACATTGTATGTTGGGTGAAGTAGTTGAAATAAGTAAGCAAAGTTGAGAACTAGGTCCAGACTGCAACTCTGTTGTCGCCCTCTGTATATATCTCCGATTGAGACCACTCGTAGCTATATAACGTCAGCAGTTCACGCAGAATACATATTCAGGTATGAGCTCATATCCTGTCTGGGGCACTGTTCTCCAGGGAGGCCTCCGGGGGAGAGGAAAAAGGCAGACAGAGTGAAAGAGAGACTGTGGTTGCAGACCGCAGACACTTGGATAACGTTCACCAACCACCCTAATCAGTTTACTTTATCACAACACAGTTTCAAAAAAGGCCAGTCATTGATGGCCTTTATTTTGCTTCAATTTCCAATTTTAACTTTATTCATATGGCTACCGGCTGTCTTTCAGTCATATCTATAGGCATACCATATGCCAGCTGAAAGTACTATATTACAGTGAAGATATAAAACTTGATTTCCAGAGAAGCTATCACTATTGCTGAATGCTAGAGGCCAGACTGAAGAGTAATCAATCGTACAGAGAAATGGAGAGGACAGGGAAGGACAACAAACACAGGAGGCTTGAATATTTACGGGGGGCAAAGAGAGAAACAGAAAGTTAGAAAATGGAAAGAGAAAAATAGGAGACAGTGAAGGGTGAAGAAGAAGTGACAAAAGCAGGACACAGCTGATTTTCAGGACAGGCTGACTACAGAAAACAGGGAGTGTAAGGTAATAGAAGGGGGATAAATATGGAAAGGGAGTGGAGGGGACAGGAGGTAAAGAGGGGAACACGGTGAGGGTGAAGAGAGAACAAAGAAACACATAGAGTAGAACTAGTGCGTAGGACAGTGAATCTGTCATCCTGTGGCTTTGCGCCCACCCATCTGCCTCTAGACCTCCACTAAAACTGCACACATACATACATAAATACACACAGGTCTAGTGTGGAACAGAAAGCCTGCAGACCACCTGAAACTACTGGTAAAAAAAGAGAAAGATATAACACAGAAGACTATTGACTGACTCGCTGAGTCAGTGAAGCTGTGCCCAGAGAAGAGGTTAGCCACCTCTCTCATCAAGAGGTTCAGGGTTTGGGGTTAGGGTTTTGGGGTCTTTAAGAGTAGGAAAAATGAATTAAAGAAAAAGGAAGAACCCTGACATTTGCAGGAAGGGATGGAGAAAATACAGGGTAGAATTGACTGAGTATCCACTTCATGGCTAAAATGTAAAAATCACAAATAAAATAAAAAAGCGCTAACAGGTTAAGAGATGTGGTGGGAATTCATTATAGCAAGAGAGCTGTTTGGGATGGAAAAAGGGATGAACGAGGAAAGAGGTGGTGAGTTTTGGAAACATGATGAGGGAAGGGAGGAGTACTGTTTTGGAAAAGGGATGTAGGAACAGAGGCAATAGAAGAAGTAATGCAAAGTAGAGGGTTAATGACGGGGACAATGAAAGAACACAGGGATAGTGTATGGAAAAGGGTTTTAAGTAGAGGCCCAGCAATGAGGCTGAAGATTCCTTTGTCAGCCAACCTTTATATGTTTACATTTTGTCTGGCTTCAATCAAGTGCTGCTCGAGTATTTTAATGTTACTTTTCTTGCTGATTAAAAATAAATAAATCAGTATCAGAATTCTAAGTCTAAAACTCACAACTGAAACACATCCTTTCAAAAACCACCACAGACATGCTTGTGGGTCAGATGATAAGTCCCACAGGCTGGTGTTGAAAGCGGTTATGTTGGGGGAAAAGGAGGGATGACAAGTGAGTGAACAGAGTTTAGAGGGAGTCACGGTTGGACTTTTTAATTCAGTAAAGAATTCCAATTTGGAAAATCACCACAAAGAAGATTGAGACAAAGTGAGGGGGTTTTGAAATGTGAAGTATGTCATTAATCATGCAACCCAGAAACGTTTTACTTGAAAAACCAATCCAGAAGCAGCAGGATGAAGTTAAAAAATAACAAGCTGCTGGCAGTAGCTTTGCTCCAGCAAATCTTTGATGTTCAGTGTCTTTACAACTTTAAGTTATTGTCCAAAAATTTTAATTATTTACTGTTTATTTTTTGCACACCTAATATGCAAAATACCTCTTAAAGTTGTCTATTGTTTCACACAATTTCAATTTACCACCCTGTTAACTAGTTATGTCTGTCTTCCTAACTTCCTTACCCTATCCTCTTTCTAGTATGTTGCCCACTCTACACCTTCCACCATTTTACCACAGACCTAGGCGTTATTACCTGGCCATGCCCAGACTGGAGAACCCTGCTGGGACGATGAGAACGTCCAGGCGGGGAAAGGGGTGAACCCCCAGAACGGCGTGGGCTGCAGCCAAACATCGAGGTAACAGGTTGAGGACTCCTGTCTGCAAAAGAAAATCAACAAGTTTTACTAAACACCTGACGACTGTACAATTGCAAGTTGTTAGCATATTGATACAGGGCAGGATATACAATAGTTTGTGAGTATATGTATTTGTTCTTCCACATACTTGTGTATATCTATTATAGTTCTATGTGCTGCAGGTCAGAGGATATCTTGAAGTATTCATTCTAAGGCTTTTTGTTCTTGAAGATGTTCCGCACTCATCTAAGAGACATCATCAGCTCATAACTGACTGAACGGGCAAAAGCCATTGACTTAATACTTATACATGCTATTCCACTTAGAAATTCCCATTTAGAGTATGAGGAATGTTTTAAGTAGCCCTTTTGAGAATACAGTCTTGTGCTTTTACCATCTTGCCAAGAGACTGCAGTTGAAAACCGCTGGCATAATGACACAAACATTAACTGACGCTAACTGTCTCTTCTAATCATATAAAATATAATTAGCTCAAATCTCAGTGGCTCTTTGTCAAAACTCCACCTGGGCCTTTGGCAGCAAGCAGACGGGGCCAAACACACGGTGTGGAATCACCCGCTGGGACCCAGCCGACCGCTCAGTAAATCGGCAAGGGTAGTCGCCATGGGAACAAGAGATGCCGTCATCCACCATGCCTGAATAATCAGTTACAGAAAGCCCCTCATCCTCAAGGGAAGAGTAACAGAATGCAGAGTCTAAGCGGGTGGTCTGGTCTCCGCTGTAGCAGATTAAAATGGGGAAGAAAAGTTTAATCCAAGGTTAATAACAATGATTTAATGAATTTTCTTATTTCTTATGAATGTTCACTTTTGGAGTTGGTGAACCAAATGTGGCACAATGTGTCCTGTCTCGCTGTGCAAAGAATGGAATTTAAAGCAGTGGAAATATGGAATATGTATGTCACAAAGGCAAACCACAGTGATCCCAAAAATATCTAGGTGCCGACATGCAATGTCATTCACTCTAAATTCAATATCCAGCACTAACGCTGTCCTCAGCATCAGAACTGTTCCAAGGTTTCGAGTGACTTCCAAGTTTCCTTCCAGCCAGTCGCTGAAAATAAAGGCCTTCCTTGTAGCAGGAGATTCCTGGGGCCTGCAGCAGGCTACAGCTGGGCTGCTGCTGGAGGAAAACCATGATGAGAGGAGGAGGATTACTGGAAACCACTGGCAGACCTGCTAACCTCATGGCCAGTGGAGAGGGAGACCCCAGTCTAACCCTGCCCGGCGCACAGCAACCCAGCCCTCTCCAATGCCCCTGCATGCACTCTAAATCCTTCACTTCTATGCAATTTGCGTCAGCTTTACTTTGTTTTTCTGTCTCCAAAGATAATTTCTGCTGGGCATTGAACCCAATGTACTACAGTGCAAGCTTTAATGTACTTGTCATAAAAAGCTGACCGAGTGTTGCACACCTGCACCCTTTTTGGTATGGCGAAAGGAAAGTTTCACCATGGAATGTTGAAGGGCGAGACCTGGGTTAATAACAGTCTGGAGAGGAGGAGGTCTTACAAGAAGAAAAGCACCTAAAATACCTGCCAGTCTGGTGTGGAGAGCCCTTTACTTCGTCACTGGCAGAGCTTCCAAGTCCAGACACAAGCTCAGTCTCAGCCCATTTCCCAGGTCCAGCCCTGACTTTGGCCCTCTTGCCGCAATCCGTCCTCACCCCTTTTTCCAGTGCTGGGGGAATTTCTGCTGTGACTTGTTGCCAGTGGCCCACTGCCAAGGTGAAGGTGGAGGCGGGCATGGGCATAGTGACATAGTAATTCCAGATTAAGAAACCTGCAGAGAGTAGAGGAAGGAAAAGAAAGACACAATGAAAATATCAAAAGGTAGAGAAGTTTAGAAAACAGACAGAGATCACAGAGAATAATGGAGACAATTTGGACTGAATTGCCACTTAACTATACAGTCTGATGTCGTGTTGATGTTAGACTTTTTCTTTTTTTTGTCCCAACCAATCCATATCTCTCATACCAACATTTCAGATGACACCCCGATAATACAGTGGGCCTAGTGGTCACGAACATCTTTCATGTCAAAGAAATATGTCAATTTAAGAGTTGTCAACTTACAACAACCTGTACAGCTGACTTAATCTTATCCACACTTAAATCAATATTTGTAGCAATTCTCTGCCATTATTTTTCTGGCTCTGACTCAGTAAGATGACGCCATCATTCGTTCAGGCCCAATGACAACAAAATTATTTGTCATACTTTTTCCTGTACCTTGTATGTTTCTCTACAATCCCCTTTTTCATTTTACAAAATAAGTCAAACTTCTTAAATGCATCAGTGCTGTCTTAACAGAAGCTGCTGTGCAAGAACTTTGTGGAAACGCAGTAAAATTTAAAGAAACTGGCAAAGTTTCCCGATTTCCTTATTTAGATCAGGAAATATTTGACCAAATAAGTAAACAAGCCTAAATACATTTATTACTGAACATTCAGTGCCAATTTTTTAAAACTTCAGACTACATTTTCTCAAAATGTGGAGGTCCAATACCCAGCACTACTTACAATTCAGTAAAATGTACTTTTATTATTGAACAAGTCAATTAACAATAAGCCACATGCTTCATGTAAACTGTACAGAACGAAATCCTTTTGAGGCAAATTTGTGACGTGACCTTAAGCTATATTAATAAAATCAACCTGCTACTGGTTGTCACAAAAGGATTTAAATAACAGCTTACGTGTGTCCCCGTCCTCAATAGGTACAGTCTGCTCCTCCCCACTCATCAAAACCACACACTCACTGGGGGCCCGTACTGTTGCCTGCCATGTTGACATGGCAACAGGCGGCTCCTGGCAGGGGAAGAGGGCTCGGTTGTTGATGGGAGAACCGGCAGTGTAAACACACACCCTGGAAGGGTAAACAATGGTAAACTATAAACAACCCTCATTTTAATGCTCAAAGGATCCACCAAACACGCACACACACATTCATGTAAGGCATCCACACACATATACATATACACGTCCACACACATACACATATACACGTAAAGCATCCACACAAAGAACGGAATATAATAGCCTGAGGCGTGTTTTTGTGTATTCATTAATCAGTATTATTCTATTTCAACAAGGCCTGCTCAGAATATTACACTGTAATTCAAGTAGCAAAAACTGCAGCAGATGTGCTGCTGTTTGCCAGTGTTAAAACCTTTAAAGGTGTCAAATCCTACAAAAGCACTGTTACAGAATATGCATCCTGAGACAAACCTGTTGTCCTGGTCTTTGGTCCACTTCACAGAGCCTCCTGTTGGCCTCGTCTCATAGCAGATCCTGAGAGCATGAGGGAACTCCTGAGGTGATACGATCCCCTTCTTCCTCACCTGCAGACTCCAGCGGTCTCTATGAAAATGCAGTGAGCTGCCATCCTGAGCACCAGGGGCACGGCTGCACTGTAAAAACAGCTTGTGCTTCTGCCTCCATTGGCGTGAGGGCAGGGAGATAAGGTTCTGAATAAAGGCTGCTTGTGGGTTAACTGAACTGACCCCTGACCTCTCAGATGCGACCTCTGGTAGGAGTCTGGACACAGAGGTGACATCCACCTCTTCGACCTTTGACACATCGAGGTCACAGCAGTCCAGCACTAACGTGAAATCACCGTCACTGGTGGTTTCCCATGAATGTGAGGATTGACTATTTTCAGTGTCACCTGCATTCTGCGACGCAACCTCAGACAGAGCCTTAAATTCAGCTCGGTCTCCTTCTTTAGCACCAAACATCTTCTCCGTAGAATTCCCAAGTCCATCCTGACTCCCTCCAGCCTCTATAGTCCCAGGTCCAGGTCCAGTGTCATCTTCAGCCTTAGTCCCAACTCCAGAGCAAGGCTCCAGGAACAGAACAACACTACCACTGATGACCTTCCTGTCAAAATGAACAGTCATATCCAGCACATAATGTCTGACAAGTATGTGGTTAGTATTGGCTCGGAGTGGAAGGTCATCTGTGTCGGGGTTTAGGTCCCTGTCTGGCTCCATGTCACACAAATGGCGTCAAAGTTGAACAAAGGAGGGCTAAACCTATGAGGCAGGACCAAAAATAAAGCTTTATTTATTTATCTGTTTTTTTGAGTTATAAACTTTTTATTTATGGTAGGGTAATTGACTGGGTCTGTGTTTATGTAAGTTTCAGACAAAACTACTAGTTGATATTCTATATCTTCCTGTGAGCTGAGGTACTTACTTTAGCCTGTGAATTAAATGTTCTGCCAGTGTACTGTGCTGAAGCCAAATCTGTCAGGGTCTGTATGCTTGATTTAAACTCAAACTTAAATGTCAACTTCGTCTGTTCACACATTCCACAAATGTTTCCAAACAGGAAAACTTCTTAATGATCCCATTTTGATCTAGGTTATTATAGCAGTAAGAGTGAAACACCTTAGCCCAGCGCCAGGAACCACTAACTGTCTGCAGTAGCCTATTTTAAAGCTCTCCTGCTGTATACGAGAGTTTCTGTCTGTCACAATCCTTCCATTTAGTCTGCTTGGGGCATGAAGCGGGCTTGGCAAGACATAGGTGCAATTACCATTTACAGCAGGAAATCCTCAGAGGTTATTAGGTGCAGGAGTATATTCATAAAATTATGAACACACAAAAACAGAGGATACATATCTACATCAACAGGAAAAGCCAGAAAAAGCCATAATATCTCACTCAATGCCTTGGCCAGGTCATTTTTCCGGGGTTTTAGCCTCAAATGTAACTCAACAGCAACAACAAAAATATTTTTAATCTTTATGACCCAGGCTGTATTACAGGCCTTCAAAGAACGGAGGCTACTCGCAATAATATTGCTATATTTTGTTTGAAGTACCGTACCTATACTCAGCAGGCCTGTATGTAGAGAGAGAGAGAGAGAGAGCGCACTGCTCACAGCTACTACTGAATTGTCCCTAGCAAAATTGTAATCAAAATATTTAAATATAAATGTTGTCTGTCAGTGTATTTGCTGTACAAACAGTCCGCCACAAAGCAGTGTGAGAATAACATGACACAGCTGACCGTGATACAGACACCTGTCATTCTCTTTGCTGTCTCTGTCCTCCTCACTCAGAGACACCTCTGCTCTGTTTGGGGCTGTCTCTCTGCTCCAGGATGCTTCCCTCTGAAGGGGCTGTGAGCTGCAGTTTATCAGAGGAGCAGAAGTTAACATTTGTGTAGATGTAGGCTTGTGAGATTTATGTCTGATCAGAATTGTTTTCAGTTTCGGTTTTCTACCTCTGATTATCGCGTACAGTCCCAGACGGGCTCTGATCTAAATGGGGTAGCCTACTACCATATCAGCAGAGCAACAATGCAGGGTAATGCACAGCAGAGGGGCAGGTAGATTTTGTTAAAATATTATGACTTCATTCTCTTTAGATTGCGATTTTATTCTCATAATATTACGACTTTTGTCTCAAAATATTGTCAGAACACAGATAAGTGGGAGAGATTTGTAATGAGCAGAAAGTTTTAAACATGAGCAGAAAACCTGCTGAAACACAGGAGCCATTAACGTCAAGAGGTTTCTAACTGACTGTGCCACATGCTTAAATACTTGAGGCTACTTCAGTCATGCCTGCATGTGTGTTGACTCAGCAAGGATGAAATAAAATGACAACAGGAGAAACATTTCTGACAGCAATACAGAATGCCTGAGAGCCTTACTGCATTATATTGCACTATATTTTTATATTTTGAACTGTCACCTGATTTTTGTGTTTCCTTTTATATACATTAAGACATTTCCTCAATGAACTGGTGCAGAAAAATTAACCAGAATGTTGGAAGTTGTTTAAAGCCCGAATTTTTAAAAGGGTAGGACCCCCAGACCCCCCATTAAAATTATTTGTTTTAATTATTATCAGGTGAAACATGAAAGATTTCTGGGTTGGGCTAAGCCCCCAGTGTTTCAAGAGCCTGGAAACGCCCCTGTCTCACATTACTGTTAGAGGCTGAACAGGTCATCTCTGACCTACATGACCACTCTGGTTCTATCAATGCTCTTGAGTATAGTCAGAGACGTTTTATAGAGCCTATATTTGGTATAGTAAAACTTGTAGACTATGTTCTGTATATCTGCATACTGTTACTATACAATGGAATACCACAAGAGTGGCCCCAGGAGTTTTCAAATGAGCTGATGTTGGTTTAGCGGAGTAAAGACAGAGATTAAATAGATGATGTAACGTACTAAACTATCCTTGTGAAAGTTTAAACTGTGACAGGTCCTTGCAGGCAGAACAGGTAAGCGCTTGTCTGTCATGCAGACCAGAAAGAACGTTACTGTTCCCTTTATCTTTATGCGTTAGCCTTCATCTTTGTGTTTTTATTACAGGCTACAGTGCAAAAGTAGAAACACTTAAGAACTGTAAGTGATGTTTAAGAGCCTTGTCACGCATATTTACACATACTGAAGTCGCATGAGGAGACCTGACTGCTCAGTAGCACGTTCATCAGCACAAAACACGAGTCATCGTGAATTAAAGTTAGCGTTGTTAATTTAACGGTGGCGTGAAGCTAACTAACGTTAACGTTAACGGAGTGACATGAGAGAGTTCACACATCACAAGTCTGTCAATCAAAACTCAACGTCCAAAACTAAGAGCAGCAGTGCCGCCAGAAATCACCAGCTTCACTGCAGCTAACGGTGTATTTAACAACAGCCGTCTACATGCCGCTGGGAATCGCAAAAAACTTACTCGCTTGTTGCCAAAGAAATCTACAACTAACCTGTTTCCGTCATGTCGGCGTCGCGCCGTGATGACGTCGTATAGACGCGACAGCAGCATATTGTAGTTTCCCCTGGATTCTTCCCGCCTTTTAAAATTCCTTTGTAGTTTATCCAATATTTAGGCAGGGTAAAAAAAAAAAAAAAAACACAGACTGTGGGGAAAAAAATTATTGATCAGAAAGAGGTCAAAAAAATATGACTAATAAAATGCATATAGGTAAATTAAATAAATAGCCTAATGGCAGTTACAGAAAACTGTTATTAAGCTTAAAATGTAGATAAACGGATTATATTAATTTTTATTATAATAAAATAATAAACAAATAATACATTTATAATAATAAATTTTGTTAAAGGCCATTTCAATTTCCCCAATTAAGATTAAAGTTTAAAATGAATAACTAAACACAGTGGTGACAAATGTGCATATATTAATAAGTTTTATTCAGGTGCTTCAACAGCATTGTATGCATGACAAGGTAAAATTCCACATTTCCACAACAGGTATGAACATAAAAATAGTTGAACACCAACTTTCAGCAATATATATTGTATGTTTCAAAAAATAGGTATACATTTTAATTCTCAAAATTAATACACACACTGAATAACCTTTTCATCTTATTTATCCATTTCAAAAACAGTTCATAAATAAGAGATGTACCTGGAAACTGAGTGAAAAATGTTTAAATGAGTATTAATAATGTATATAAAAATGTATACCCACTTTTGACACAGAACATTTTCATTACTGAAATACAGTATGAGCTGCAACACCAATGAAATGAGCTGTTTCATGGATGTCAAATAAATTCAGGTTGTCACACTTTAATACTGCAAAGCAGTAGTATATTTTTCTCAACTGGAATGTATTCTGAAATATGGAGAAAACATAATTCACACTTGAGTTTTCAAAATGTTGCATATCTAGTTAAGTGTCTCAGTTACTAAGTAAATAAGGAATTAATTAAATTTGGCACTGTGTGTATCGTAGAAAGCTGTCTATTTACACAGGTACTGAAACAACTGGAACATACACTGACATCGATACAGCACACTCAGTCACTGAATCCTGCTTACTGAATAATAGTTCAAATTAATATCATTATTGCTATTATTCATCTAAAAAATACATTTCCATAAAATAAAATGCAGAATAGTTTTTCATACCTTTGTAAACATCTTTGAAATTATTTGATGAAATACCGCTACTATATACAAAATGTGGATTTAGAGCTAAGCCATCTGTAATTTAGAGCCTCAGATAAGTCTATCTGCCTCCTGTGAAATTACAACAGATAACTCTTAATAAGTTAAACTCTTCTAGGTACTGTATGTCCAACAATAATAAGACAAAAATGGCCTTAAGAGTTAACACAGGAAAGAAATTGTGTCTATTTTTTCTAGTGCACAAATCCATCCATACTCTTGCTGCTCTAACTGGCACATGTCACACATAGACTCCCAGAGTGGAATTTCAAAGGCCCTTTAGCACATAACAGAATCATTTATCATTACTGAGTACAAAGTGACTTCAGTATGGCTTCAACATCTTTAACTCCAGAAATTATCTAAATAACCACTCATCCACTCACACATTTACATACACATACACACAGGACACAAGCATTATTGGCACACATACAGGCTCTGGGTCAGCGAGGACCTCAGAGAGGAACACTAGTCCGCCTCTTTACCAACCCAGAGGAAATGTTTGCAGCATTATTAGGACTTGAAGTTATCTAAAAAAGGAAACCAACAGAGCCAAAGCGTCTGAAGATTTTACAGTGAAATGCTCAGTAAGCTACACATTGCTTGAGATTCCCACTTCCCTATTCTTACGTCCTGTAACAAACAACCATGATCAATCAAAAGTGGACATGTGGCAGATATTATATAACACTGCCAGACTGCTGAAACTGTAAGTCCTCCAACACAAGGTACTCCTCCAGCGCAGAGGGGTGCAATGGTATCACCAGCAGTTCCTTTCCTTGTGTTTCTCCTTTTTTCATCTTTTCTTCTCTTTTCCTCTCAGTTGTGTGCCAGCCTCCCCTTCCTCTCTGTAGCGCTCTCGCTCTCTCAGACGAGCTGTAGCATTCTCAGGAGTTTTCCTCCGGAGCTCTGCGGAAACTTAGACGTTTAAAGGAATCCCTGTGAGAGGGAAAGGATAGCAGGTGAGGAAACAATGACAACAAAACATTACATTTACATTTAGCTGATGCTTTTATACGAAGCAAATTACAATTGCTATATATGTCAGCGGTTGCACACCTCTGGAGCAACTAGGGGTTAAGTGTCTTGCTCAGAGACACATTGGTGGATGTGTCACAGTGGGAATTGAAGCTGGGACTCTCACACCAAAGGCATATGTCTTATCCAATGCCCCATCACCCCCAAAACATAAGATATGATGATGTTGAGGGGGAGGAGTAACAGTCAGGACGCAAGGTAAATGTTTCCATGAGCAAGGCACAAAAATAGGAATTTTCAGTTACTCAGTTACTTGCTCTTTACAACCTGATGCCAGAAGTGCTTCACCGAGGCCTATATATTATACATGGTCATTGCAGCTTGGATTTTGCTTTTGTATTTGAACTAGGCCTATAAAATCGATTATATTGGCCGATATTAGCTTGATGCAGATGTATCTGTATATACACTGTATCAACATATCGGATCTATTAAACTCTCAAATATCAATATTGGTAACTGAGCTCAAAAATACAGTATTGACAAGCCTTTTTTTTGTTTTATTAAAATTGTTATATCATTTTGCTGGTGTTTACATCATACAGGCACACAATGCTTAAGCCTTTGTTAGACATGATGTGAAGTGAACTGCATGCGAATTGATTTTATCAAGAACACACACAGCTGATTTGGGAGGCTCTCTTTACACTGCAGATGCTGAGTGATTTTCAGAAAAATCACAATTTAGGGGAAAGATTTCGCTCATCCCTCAGCATGGACAAAAGATTGCTAAGTACATTGCTATCAAGATGATCACGCCCCATCATGAAAGCACTTTAGTCTCGAGTGTTTACTAATACATGAGTACAATGTGGCCATGGCATTGGTTAAATGTCTGGGTACTGTGGCTGTGGTTCAGCTATCAATATTTGTAGAGGTGACACGTACAGTGTGAATGGATCTCTGCTCAATTGCATTTGTTCTCACTTTCCTTTGGGTTCAGCAATCATACGGAGTGATGAAAAGATCAATGATATGTGGGGTCACCTCAGTCTCTCTTGTCAAAGCAGTATTGGCCTGTTTGACTTGGTGGGTCTGTTTACCGGTTCTCCAGCCGAGGCCTGATGATGGGTTTGTAGAGCTCGGGAATCTTCCTCTCCAGCATGGGCCTCAGGCTCTCTCTCAGGCGGTTGTAGTTCTTCTTCAGCTCCTGCTGGTACTCTTTCTGGTCCAACGTGATCAGGTGCTTATTCTTCTCAACTGCCTCACCACACCTAACAAGGTGAAATCAGTTTTATAATGCATTTTCTGACATTGCATGAGATGAAAAGAGTTGAATGTACTCCTTGACCTTTTTGATGCAATAACCTCAAATTTAAGAACAGCTTCAACAATGATACTACGCAAACCAATCTCGCAGTAATCCCCTCTCTATCCTAAAGACTTCAGAAATGCACTGCACTGTTTCATGCTAACAACGTCCTGTAACTACTTGACATAAATTGGACTGCTTTACATGCCAGAACTTTAAATGAGTTAACCATGTACTTGACTGTAAGGAACTCCTAGATGTCTGTTAGATACTTCCCCAAGTAACTCAGCTAGAATGTGAGCAGGGGTAAAATGTCTAATCACAAATGACAAACAAATAAAAATCCTATTCTCCCTTACATGCTGCAACAGAGAAAATGCCTTATAGTAAAGGAGGGCACCACAAGATCTGAGCTGAACTATGAGCAGAGGGCAGGAATGGGGTTTCCCTTTAGTCCTTTGTCATGACATGTATAATGGCAAACATACAGAGCAGACTGCAGGAAATCAGAAAGACTGGGATGATTGCTAACACATGTCTGAATTCATCTCTTAGCTTTTAATGAGGGTAACATGCAAACTGCAATGCTGTGTATACAGTAAATACTCAGGGCAATGTGCATTAAGGGCAGTTCACAAGAGTAAAGCCGTAGAATCCATAAAATCCAACTACTCATGTGCAGCTCTCTATATGAATGCTTGTTTGTGTGTTTTTGTATCTGCAACTGAACTAGGACTGGAACTTGTTGTCCAAATTAATGATTCCAGGCTAATCATAATTAAAAGTCAACAACGAATGGAGTTTTGTGTGATACAATGCTGCAGTACAACACAGTTCATTATTAAGAATATTATTACTAATCTTGATGGAGCTATATCAGGTGGACCTACCCAGAACATTACAGTGCATCTGTTCACTGCAATGAGTATGTCGATAAAAAGCAGTATTTACAAATGAGTTTCACAGCAAATGACATGTTTGGGTGAGAGGCCTGAGACATACTGTATGTGGTGGGAGAGATTTCATTCAGTGGGGGAAAGATGACCAACTTAGAAAACATTGTTGCTGTTTTACAATGCCAAGAAGACTGGCATACAAAGGGTTTGGCGCCAGCTTTCCTGGATTTACGATAGAAAATAAACCTTTCTGAAATTACAGTAAATATTTGCCAACCTGCTTGTAGCAATCAAGGCAGCTTGAATGTGACATGAGGGTTAGAAAATGAAAAGAACCTTTTGGAAGCAATGGCACATGCAAGATGAAAGTACACACACACAAACACACGCACGCACACAGACACACACACACACACACACACACACACACACACACCTGTGTCTCCCGCACAACATCAGCATATCCTCAGACACATTGCTGTGGGTAATGTGGTTTAAATTATGTTCTGAATATTCAAAATATAATGAAACTCTCACAATAAACCTTTGCAATTGGACGAGAAGAAAACCATAGTGATATTATGAGTAAAAATATCTTCCACTGTCACATGGCAAATGAAAAATATATCCCCTGTCACAATGGGTTATAATATTTCACATTCCTCTTACTGTACCATTCTTTAACTGCCATCTGGTATGCAATTGGGTGGATATTATCACTTCCATCACTGCATCTTGAGTGACACTCTGCTTAAACAGCAGGAAATATAGTGCTTTTTTAAATCTTCCTACACTGCCACCAATATGGTGTATACATAGAGCATCCTGGAGAAGACTTACTCTTTCTAAGTCTCACAAAGATACAGAATATTCAGTACTCTGAAATCTCTTTAAGTATTGTTCTGTACATCCACCTACTGAATCAGTGCCAGTCACTGGTAACGACAAAGAGAAGCAAAAATGCTAAAATCAAGTAAAATAGTTGGTGAACCCCTCTAGGTTTATGCCTCACCATGAAAGTTCTTGTATTTGGGGATTTTTTAGTTGAGTTTTTTCATAATTTTGCATGACTTTAGTGAAATGTGTTGTCACTAGGTGGCATTTCTTTGATCGTAACTTACCTCATTATAAACTCTTTGAAACACAGGCGCAGCTTATTGTGGTGACGGAAGAGCTTCGGGTCCGCTGGGATCTCATTCAGGAAGACCTGGGCCACCTCCAATGGGCCCTACAACGGGTGGGGGGGCGGAGAGAGGAGGAAAGGGACAGAAACAAAGAGACAGAGTTAGAGAGACTAAGAAAGAGAAAGCAAAAACAGAACACAGGAAGGAAAGAGAGGAGGTAAGAGAGGAAACATTTGAGAGCATATGAACAAAAGGAGGGATGAGAATTCCTCTCATTCAGACGGGGAGGAATGACTTCCTAACTGAATGCCTAATGCAGCTATGGGCTGAGATGCTGAACTAGAACATGAGGAAGATATCAGATCAGAGAAGGAACCATGATTAGCCTCCTGCATGGCTAATGTCACCGCTAACCCTGCATACACCCACCATTTGGCTCCCATTTGCCCAGTATGAGATCTTGTTATCCTAACTTATATTCATCATAAAACCACAGTACGCTCGCACAGCGTCTGCATCACGACAGGCACAGTTAAACAGCCCTGATTAGCATCATAAACGCATTGGGCCTGGGCCTCAGTTCTTGGTCTGAGCTGTGGACCCACACACAGAAACCCAGCCTCCTGTGCTGATTAGAGTCAAGAGTTGTATGCTTATGGAGCTGCTGAGCATTAGCGTTATGTATACAACCATCAGGTCGGAGCAAGGGACCTGTCAGATTAGACGCTGGAAGATAAAGCATAGGGGGAGGGAGCAGAGACGCTGTAGCTAGCTTCATCATTACTCCAACATTCACCATGCTGGCAGGACCTGGAAGCTATCAGATCAAAGAGATCTCCGGTTCAGCATGCCGTGCAGCACAGACATGAAAGGAAGAGGGGCGATGAATTGACGTTTTAACTAAATCAGGGGAAAAGCAAAGGAAGGATTAGGGTTATGGATGGGGTGAAGGCTTTGATGTGTGATCACTGTCATGTCTCCCACCTGCACTCTGTAACTACAATGGAAACTGTAAATGTGATAAGATAAATTGAGGTAAATTATTCCAGTTTATTTTCCCCAGCACATTAAGAAGGAACACTCAGGGAGAATAAAGGGCTATGTATGATACAAAGAGCAATCATTTTGGGAACAGCCAACATTTAGTTAAGCATGAAGTAAGTGATCATTTTAAGCTATAATAGGTGCAGACAGTCGTGTAAAATATAAGCAGTGCCTTCATTCATGCAATGCTCGTACCTGGTTAACTGTGGCTCCCACAGAGCCTTGTAGAAGCATCTGTAACATCTTTGCATCAGGCTTTTCTCTATGTGTGGCAACTGCTAGCTCTCTAGTCTTCTTCTGCATGTCCTCTATGGCGACTTCAATAGGAGTCAGATCGAACTAGAAACAAAAAAAGAGGTAATATTGTACCAAAAAAAAAAGAAAAAGAAAAGAGTCTTAAAAGCCGCTGGATGTTCTGCACCATGACTTGGGAGCTTACCTCCTCTTTCTGGATGACATTGATGCGGGTCTTGACGTAGGGGAAGGCATGCATAGTGGTGAGGATGGTCTTCCTCTTGTACTGCTCGTTGAGTTCACCCCTCGGCCTCCCGCTCTTGGTGAAGGGCGTGGTGTACATGAAGCGGCGCAGGTTGAAGTTCTTCTCAAAGTTTGTCAGCCGGTCTTTCATCTCATAGTCATCAAAGAAGGGCTCCACATATGTGATCTGGATATATACCTGGAGAGGAGTGGCGTTTACTATTTACAGGCAGTTTTTCGATATTTGCAACATAACAGACACACATTACATACATTAGGAAATACAGTAAATCCTCTCCACCCCCTCCTCATGCTCTTTTGATTAAAGCTGTTTTAAACTGCATAAAGTTGGAAAAATATTAACACACATTTAAAGGGTCTATAAACAAATGTGATATGAAACACCTTCTTTTAATAAGTTAAGCCACTACATTTCCCTGCAGGAGGACTAAGAAATACTATATTGTCTGATCTTCTGATCTAGTTGACCCTTAAACAATTAATAAAAAAAAATGTTTATAAGATGATGAGCATTTATAATGGTTTCCTTACGTGTCATACATTTTCTGCTTGTTAATGTGAATATAATTAATTTGCATATTATGTGGTTGCTGTAAGCTCTAACTTCACATATTACACACACACACACACACACACACACACACACACACACACACACACACACACACGTATATTTCTCCATTGTTACTTATAATACCATAATCCACACCTTTGCTTCATCCCTACTACTTAACATACTCAATACACTACCATTTGGTGTTAGACTAAAAACCAAAATCTTCTTATTTATTAAAATTATTTATTAAAAATGTCCTTAGTAACATTTAAACAACCACATTCTTTTAGTACAGTACAGACAGACATGCGCACCAATCAGTGGTGTGACATTATCACCTACTTTGCTGGGGTTGAGTTGTTTTCTGTCCACTGGTGTAGAGTCCTTGATCATCACCAACGTGTCCTCTCCAAAACACTGACTGTAGAAGTTCTAGGAGTTGGGGGGTGGGGGTGGGGTAGTTAGTATACCGTATTGTTCATAATACAGTCAATGCAGTCATGATTTTTATGCAAATTAACATATTTAGCTGCCATTCAGTGCTATCCATCTTACAATAAAATGTTTAAAGAACCCTTGAAAGCATGAAATAACTTGAATTTCACTCAGCAACTGATTGACTTATTTGATTCAAGACTGAGGCTGACACTACCTAACCCTCTTCATGACGTTATTTCTCTATAAGCATGTAAATTAATGCCAAGTTGTCCAAGCTCTCTAAAACCTCACTAAAAACAGATGGATGATTGGGAGTTTTGCCCCCAGTCAGTCAAAGTCTCTCAGTCATAATCAGATTCCAACAGTCCAGCCAGGCGCCATTTTCCCTTTTTCACTCCAACTCAAACACACATTAGTTCACAACGTGCGCACGCACGCACACACACACTTCTCCTGTACCTCTAGCCTGTGTGATATCTCAGGCAGATGTGTGATCCCTGGCTCCTTGTAAATGAATTCCCGTTCGTCCAGGTCGCCGAACTTAGCCCCATAAAAACCCACCCGGAAATAGGTTCCAAACATCCTCTTATGGCCCTGAAGGAAACAAAGAAGATTTTATATTAGTCTAATCAGTATAACATACGAAACATATTCTTTCTCATTATGGTCATTCCTTTTATGGGGATATTTGTTGTGAAGAGCACTTTGGTAAACACAATTTCGCAAATAAATACGGTTATTTCTCTTTTATTATCCAAAATCATTTTAAAAGAAACAGATTCTACGTACTTAAGAAATACTGAAAAAAGACATTGCTTTTCCATTCTGCAGAAGGTCTTTGTACGTGATGTACCACAGTATCTTACTGTCTTTCTTATTTCTACTTTAAACATAATTGAATAAATGAAGCAGCCCCTACAGTGCCATATGGTTATTACCTTCTGAATGATGTTATCAAATGCTCTGTGTAGTTTGTCATGAGTTGATGCCAGTTTTCTGAAATCTCTGTGAGCCTCCAGGATTGGAATGATGATCTTGTAGACCTCATTCACTGCCTCGAAGAGACCACCCTGATGAGACAGCCATCACTGTTAGCATATACCACATACAGTATATATGCATAGGGAATATTTGCATTTAACGCACACAATATAAAACCAAATGTTCTATGTTCAGAATAAACACAATACAGTCGCAGGAAAAAAGTATGTGAACCCTTTGGAATAACCTGGATTTCTACATAAATTGGTCATAAAATGTGATCTGATCTTCATCTAAGTCACAACAACAGACAGAAACAGTCTGCTTAAACTAATACCACACAAACAATTATATGTTTTCATGTTTTTATTGAACACACAGTGTAAACATTCAAAGGAATTTTGGACCATTCCTCTTTACAAAACTGTTTTCCGTTGTGAATCGCTCTTTTTGAGGTCATGCCAAAGCATCTCAAGCTCAGTCAGGTCAGTACTCTGATTGGGCGACTCTAGAAGGCGTATTTTCTTCTGCTGAAGCTATTCTGTTGTTGATTTACCTTTGTGCTTATGCACTGCGTGTGTTCAATAAAAACATATAATTGTTTGTGTGGTATAAGTTTAAGCAGACTGTTTGTCTGTTGTTGTGATTTAGATGAATTCCATTTATAATCTTTATAGCATACCATTATTTTTACAGTTGCAGATAAAAAAAAATAAAAAAAATCAACATTCTGTGCTATGTACTATATTTATTTTTCCACTTTTCCAGTGTGAACACACTACATACTCAAAACTTGCTAAGAATTAGTATGAAGTATGCATTTGGGATACAGCTACAGGTTTGTATGTGAACACTACAAATAAATATTAAATAGCAGTGCAGCTTCATTGTCTCACATTGCTGAAGAGCTCAGCAGCCTGTTCAAGCAATCCCACCAGGCCGCTCTCAGTGAAGTAGCGTCCCGAACACACCCCATCCTCGTCGGGGGACAGGATGTCATCTGACACTGCCGACTCCTCCAGCACGTTGGGGGAGATGTTCTGTAGAGAAAAATCAACCAGCTAATCAATCAATTAACCCCCTTAATCAAATAATCAATCACATAGCTGGCTTAGGGAGATGTCCTACTGTGGGAAATGGAACTAATTTGGACCATCCAATCAATGACCTGCTGACTGCTGCAGGTCAGAGTGTCCTGCACCAAAGCGCCACAGATTTCCTGTCTGTGACACAGCTCATCGATAACAGCGTCTTCATAGTTACTGCTTTAACTGTTTGTTTTCAGTTCAAGGAAACAGTCTGTTCACATGTTCCCACAGGAGCACGTTTGCATTTCCGCCCCCCACCTCCAACTTCAAAGATGTTGTGTTAAGCAGTGCTACTAAGGGACCATATTTATATGTTGACGTTATGAGTGTACAGCTCCCCCCTCTGGGCACACACAGCCAAATTTGGGAATAATCCGTAGGGAGACGTGTGATGTGGTGTGTTGTGCAAGGGAGGTTTTGCCTCCGTTCAACAAAACAACCAACAGTCACAACAAACAAACGATGAATGCTTATTATTTTGAGTGGCTGTAATTGTTCCCTCCTTTCAGTCTGAACATGTGTTTATTATTAGTTCCTTGCTAATTTGAGTGTTATATCAGTATTTTTGTTCCCTACCTGGAAGGTGACGCTGCCAACAGGCAGATACTTGTGATCCTCCAGCATGCTGAGATACTCGGCCACCAGGGCAGCGGCGTGGACCAGACACATAGCCGACTCAGTGAAACACTTCCTGTTGTTGTGCTTTTCTGCCATGTTCTGCAGCCAGGTCAGACGGAGGTCAGGAGACGTCTGGTAGCCCTTCGCTATCCTGAGGAGGGAAGGAGAAGGAGGGTTTTGTTGTGTTTTTTCTTCTTTGCACACAAATGCGATAGATAGATAGATAGATAGATAGATAGATAGATAGATGGATAGATAGATAGATAGATAGATAGATAGATAGATAGATAGATAGATAGATAGATAGATAGATAGATAGATAGATAGATAGATAGATAGATAGATAGATAGATAGATAGATAGATAGATAGATAGAGCGTGCGTGGCAGAGATTTAAGTATTTGGGTTGCTTAGTGTTTTTATGAACAACAAAAAATATGGATAATGTTTTCCTGTTCATGGAATGCATGCATAATCATTAGGCTAACAGCATGGGAATACATCTAAATCACCCTAAAGCATGTGAGTCACTAAACTATGCTTACAAATGAATTCAAGCATCTGGAGACCAAATGTATTGTGAATCAATGACCTGTGTGTTTGTGAGCTTGGAGGTGAACGTCAGGGTGAGTCTAGGTAAGTGTGCAACGCTAACAGGTCATTCTGTGCAGCCGTCAAACACTCACCAGGTGACTGGGATCACAACCCAAACAGAAAGGTGCATGATAAATGACATGTGTAAGTGACATTAGAGCATGTTGCGGTGAAGTGCCTAAATCAACATACAGCACATGTATGCTCTCTTTGTCTCAGTGTTTCCCCTTCGTGTTCTCACACACACCCGTATATATACACGCACACACATGCATACACACATTTTGCATTTGCATATACACAAAGCCAGGACAGAAAACTAAACTGCTACCACATGGTTACCATAGTGAGGGCATCAAATAGAAGAAAAACAGCCCCGACCACAGAGAAATAGGAACCAGCAGCGCAAAATAGAGAGAAGCCACAGGGTGGTGAGAGAGGAGAAGACAGAGGAGAGAGTGACATATTAAGAGACAGACACTAAAGATGAAAAAAGACGAGGAGACAGTGTTTACAGATGACGCTTTGTGTTTCTCACCTGTACATGAGGTCCATGAGCATCTCGGGATCTTCCTGGAACTCCCTCATCTTCACCGTGTCTGACAAAATACTGTTAAGGTTTCTTAGAAGCTCATCCACCTGAAAATACAGACAAGACACAAGAGGCAGGCATGAGGACACAATACGATCAGTATCATCAGTTTAATACAGTAGTAGCGGTGTGTGTGTCATTGTGTGCATTATTTTCTACCTGTGAGGGCAGCTGAGTGTTCTGCATCTCCGTGTCCTCCTCCGCGTAGGCCAGGATGGTGCGGAGTGAGCGTCGTAAGTATTCCTCCTGGAAGTCTGAGGACTTGCCCACCAGCGAGGCCAGAGACATGGTGACCTGCATTTTCACTCTTGAGAAGTTCTGACAAAGACAGAGGGGCCCGCAGAGAATGTCAGTGTTTAACATTTTGCAGTGTTTATCATACAGTAAGACAAGATGCTCAATGCATTTGTGAAATTTCAACTTCCTTTTCCCTTTTGATAATTTCCTTACAAGCTTAAGAACAAATTTATAGATTTTAAAGGATAGACAAGGCATACTAACATAACAGACAAATGCAGCTAGCAGGAATGGAAACATTCCTTCTTCTGGTCCTGTTTGACTAGATTTGGCCTCTAAATTGCTTAGTTGCCATAAAAACTTCCAATAATGGCCAGGGCATGTACTCACTTCAACAAAAGAGGCTCTTTATTAGAGACAGGCCATTATGTTTGTTTGTCAGTTCCAAAACACACTATGTGATTCAGATTTCATAGTCTTTAAAAATGTTCTACTCTAGGGACATTGGGACAGCAGGGTACCAAAACATTAAAAACATAATAATAAGCCAAAACAAAAGCTACTGTCATGTATGGAATGAAAAGCAGCTGCAATGCCGTATGAGAATCACGCAGGAGAGTTATATTTGCGTAATGAGTGTAAAAGCTTTTATGCCAGTATTGGTATGCATAAAAGATAGACAAACACATCCGCACGCTTGGAACACTTGTTTTTTGGTAATATCATTTGGGGATTTTGTTTTATTGATATTTACTGTACTGTATTTAATTTCTGGTAATTCAACCTTTAACCTGCCCTTCATGTTCCCTACTGAGACAATAACAAATCACCATAAAGTATATATAAATTGAAAATTTAAATGCTTACACACTGTACTTGGTTGTGTGTATGCAATAGTTAGATCTGTAAAGAGGATGCTCTAACTTCTTTTCCAAGTCGTGCAGTATGGTGTCTTCGGAAACACTTTGCTTGTGCCATGTTCATTTTATTTATGTATCGCCACTTGACAGCACACAGAAAACGAGAGCTACAACAGATGCATCATTATTTTGTTGTATGTGAAAAAAGGTAATAAGCAATGCTAAAATTGGTGAGCTGTTTTCTCTCCTCAAGTTGTGTCCCTTGTTCCCTCCCTTTCCTTGTCTCTCCATCCTTCACACTACCTGTCCCAAGATAACAGGCCTGACAAACACCCCTCCATCCTATGCAGTGTGGGCTTTGTGTGTGTGTGTACGTGTGTGAGAGAGAGTGTGCTCGTGTATGTGTCCCATCTATCTCCAGCATGACCAGCTAAGCGGGAAATGATCTCCCATTAGCAGAGACATAATCACCCATGGATCATCTCTACGGCCCCATTCTGTTCAACTGAGCATGGAGCCAGAGACTAACCACCCATCACTGCCCTCTAACTCATTGTGTACGTGTGTGTGCGTACTTGTGTGTGCGTACTTGTGTGTGCGTACGCGTACGTGTGTGTGTGTGCGTGCGCGCTAAGAAGTAGCCTAAATGATCGCTTTAGTCAACACATGACCCTCTTTGTCTTTCACTCTCTCTCTCTTTCTCATCTGGCCCTTTTCCTCTAGTTGCCTTTCCAACCTTTTCCATAACTGGACATGTTTTTAACCACCGGTATCTGTTTTTAGTGATTTGTTCCATTTCTGGGGAGAAAAAAGCCTGGTATTTTTTTCTCTTTTTATTACCACAATCTAAAATGAAAGTAAATGATGGAGAGGGGGAAAAAGTGTGTGTGACAGACAGAGAGCAAGACGAGGGCGGGTGAAGGGATAAAAACATAAACACAGGAAGAGGTGGAGAGTAAGAGTAATGAATGAGTCATACGGCTGCTACGCTAATTGAGATCACAGTTCCCTCTGTATACAGCACATAAACAAACATACACTGGGACACGCAGATGGGAAATACTCTCTTTGAACTGGAGATACTATATGTGCATGTGTAAGTGTGATCTGCAGACTGGTGTCTGACTTTCATTAAAGAATACAGACCGTAAACACAGGAAATATCGACTGCAACAGCAGTTTTCGAACTAGCAGAGAAAATACTCTATTCTTAAACCTCCCTTCCTTCAGGTCTGTCTCAGTCTTGTCCTTTTTTTTTTTATCTCCCTCCATCACTGCTTCTTTATCTTGATTTCCTCCTTTCCACCCCTTTCACATTCTCCCTGCCCTTGAGACACATATACTAAACACACTCACACATATAGTATATACTGGAACACCCACACACACACATACACATAGAGGTCTGGCTGTCATTAGTTAAAGAGGGGTAGGAACATGGAGAGGCAGACAGTGACATATCTCTCTGCTCCCTACTCAGAGACACATCCTTCAGCAGAAACTTTCTGCAGCACGCTCAAAATAGACATGGAAAAGACATTAAAGGCAAGCAGGAGAGGAAAAGTGGAGAAGATAGGGATAGGGATGTGTGTGACTCTCCGCTTCTATGCGTGTTCATGAGAACATGCATCAAAAGCAACTCTGAACTCTCGTGTGCACTTAAATTCAATTTAGTCTGACATAAATGCAATTTCGTCTGCAAGCTTGGATGTTAGATAAGGTTTTATCTGACAGAAAGGTAACACATGCCTGACATTTGCTTTGTGTGGGTGTTTCTATGTGTGTGTGCATCCTTTTTATTATTAAACCTTTATTTAACCAGGAAATGCTTGTTGAGATTTAAAATCTCTTTTCCAAGAGTGTCCTGGCCGAGACCATAAGAACCCATTGGAACATATACACAGGATCATCTTCTGAGTGTGATGTTTTTGTGTGTGTGCTTACACTGGCATTGCTGTAGCTATATCTCATGATGAGATAGAGGGTGGCACAGGCCTGGCTCCTGTTCTCATCGACAGGGCTGCTGCAGTACTGAAGCATCTTCTGGCACAGGTCTGCACACTGCTCCGCCTCCTCCTCAAACAACAGGTCCCCAAACTGCACAAAAACACACACACATACAGACAAATGAAACCAGACACACAAGGTGGTTGGTAAAGACAGACATGCACGCAGGCATGTATAGACAAATAATTCAGGCTTGCTTCAGCAGTTTGCCTTCCCCAAAAGGAATATTTAATTTAGACACAACTAGTGTTTATGTATACACACCCACCCATACACTTGCTCCTGAATCGTGTATGCAACCACACACACACACACACACACCATAATAAAATTACCTTGACAACAAGCGCTCTAAGTGTGCTGAAGGTGTGAGAGAGGAAAGTGGTACTCTGGTTGCAGGTGAGAGAGTGGAGCAACACCTTCAACACCCCGCCAACCACGCTGTCCTTACACTCAGTCAATGGCACTGCCTAGACAGGAGACAAATGACAAAATTACCAAATCATATGGAGACAAATGTTAACACCTGTGGATACACTGGAGTGCAAAACTACATTGAGAAATCTGTACAACAGCAGTGGTTAAATATGCAGTTTTCACAGATAAGTTTAAAGCTAAGACTAAAATATGTCATGGGTTGCATATTTTGCCATCTTTTTGTTCAACACATTGCGTACGGTGTTCATTCTCAGCCATTAAAAACATTTACCTTTACATTCAACCTCTTCTATGTTTTATAGTGATTCACTGAGTGATAACACTGCAAAAGTATACTGTTCAAATACCTAATCAGGAACTTTGTTGGTGTTTTAATTATTTAACTGTTTTTAAGGGCTTGCAGATGTAAAAGAATCTCTTGTTGACTCTCAGATCTGTCTGAAGATGCAAATTATATTGCATATTGATTTGGAAAACCTTATGCTAAATGCCAGATTGTCAAAAGGACTACATTATATTTTTCATGTGTTCATGTTCTGTAGAGAGTGTTCTGACCTGTACAATGGTTTCCAGCAGGTCCAGCACTATGAGGTTAGCCTCTGTGGCTAAGTTTCCACTAATCAGAGCCTCCTGGTCCAACTCTGCTTTAGTCCTGATGGAAGGCAGTGAGAGACAGATATTTAGAGAGGAATGAAAGCAATAAACGATCTAAAGAAAGAAAGAAGAGACGCTGTGAAAACTGGACGGCAGACGTGCAAAACGTACTTATCCTGTTTGTCATTGGTCTGTCTCCACTGAGTGAGGTCTTTCCTCCATCGTAGGTTTTCTCTTTGGCCCATGGTCCTATCCATTCCTGTGAGGAATTCAAAGGCAGATAATCACTTCAAGAAAACAGCTAGTGAGAAACTACTATGCAGACTCGGTACAGATTATGTGTAGGAATCCAAGCAGTCTAAAAGATGAATTCACATCATGTTTTATGACAAAAAGTTTATTGCAGTGCAAGAAGAAAATGAGATGATTTGTGTGAACATTTGCTGATAATAATTAAGCAATTAATTGCTGTATTTCTTTCACAATAATCCAACATTTACTTAGTCTCCAAATACACCAAAGTATACCCATGTTTCAAACACTGCTTAACACAGAACAGACATACTTCATAGGGAGACTGAGAGTCCCTAAGCATGGACTGTGTAACCTGAAATTGGTTCTTGCAGTGACTTGCTGACCACACATTTATAAAATATGAAAGTTTTGGAGGTGGTTCATGTCCAAAACTTTGAAATCTTGCAGAAAATGCAGACTTAAATTTGACAGACAAGCAATTCCAAGCACAAACAGATACGCTACCTCCAACTCGTTTCATCATTTCCCCACGGGCTCCCGTTCCTCTCAAGAGGGCTTCTTCCAGCTGCATCTTGGCCTGATGAGATTTCTGTAAGGCCTGGGTGCTCACTTTGTCAGTGCTCTGCTTACCCTACAAACACACAAAAACACATATTTACCTGGTACAAGCACAAAGCACATACAGTTTTTAATATTTTTTTTATTTATCCTTAAGTTCTGTATGATAAACACACATGCATACAAGATGAACAAATACACAGCCATCCCTACTGCAAAGTAAGTCCCTGTATTTATATAAATGTGAACTGAATTTAAATGACTGATGCAAAAGAGTACAACACAAGTCAATACATGAGCAAACTGACCCTATACTCAAAGCAGGACACACAGATAGTGAGGAGCTCCAGCAGCTTGTTGAGCTGCGAGGGAGGCATTTCTATAGTCCAGCGCTGAATCAGATTCCTATCAGCGTTCTTCATCACCCACAGAAAACACACCAACAGGTGGCGACTGGTGTCTGCTGCCAGGGTGGCTATGGATTTACCTTGCTGGGGAGAGGAGAGAGACAGATATGCAGTATGATACAGTGCACTGTAGCTCTAACTGAATAGAAAGAGCACCTGAAATCACTCAGACACATACACACAAACATGCATCTGCTGTACATGTACCTAAACTGAGAAATAACCTACCAGAAAATAAATCAAAGTGATGCATCCTAAACAGGATTCCAGTGTGGTACAAAGGTTAAAAAATATTTTCTGTGTAGGAGTCCTTAATTATATGTAATGTCCAGTATATTACAACACAACAGATAGCAAGGGAAATGCTTTGATGCAAAAGACCTCCAAGCACAATGACTTTTTTAACGCTTATCAGTGGTAGTCTCCTGCTCTACCCTTTGAGTTATACAGTGTATATAACAAGAGAATCGAACAAACTAACAAGCTTCTTTAAAACACAAACAAGGCTGACAGACTTCTTTCCATGCTGGCTTTAGTAAAGACTGGTTCTCTTACCCATTTTAATAGGCGTTAAATCTACTGCAGATTAATTTACTTTCATTCGTGTGATGATGAATTGCTACCATAGAGGGCTACCGCTGCTTCACTGTGTGGCAGCTTTGATGAATGTAGCCATTAACCTCCTAGTGCTCTAGGTGTCCCACCTAGAACCTGGTTTCCAGGTCTCTGAGTAAAGCTCAACCAGAACCAACGTCAAATATGTGTAGCATGTAATCAAAAATGTCACTTGTTTATTTGAAATCGTGCTTTCTGTGAAAAACCATTTTCTGTTGCTGAGAGTAAAAGATTCAAACAATGTTTGAAGGAGAGCTGCTTGAAAATGAGAAACAAGCGCTCTGGCAGCCATGTTTGGATTTGTGATGGATTCCAGGCCGACGGCTCAGTTGTGTGAAATTCAGTTTTTCCACAACAGTATTTCATGTTACAACATGCAAGGAACTGATTCATCTCTTGGAAGGAAGCAGAGAAAGAGGAAGAGAATGGCATGGTTCAGTTTTAGTGCCTGTGTTGTTGCTGTAGCTACACTTGATTGATGTGTTTGTCAGGGAGGACGGCCCTGTTCACTTATGATGGCAATGCCTGCCCATAAACCATCTCCAGCAGACACGTGTGTGTGTGTGTGTGTGTGTGTGTGTGTGTGTGTGTGTGTGTGTGTGATTTTTCAGGATGGATGAAGTGTGTGCGTGGCTCTGACAGCTAATCAATCTACCTCAGTGCAGCTCACCTGTTAGGAGGCAGACTACTCACAGACACAGACAGGTACTTCTGAACTTTTAAAAGCAATAAAAATCATACTAAAATCTAACATATCACATATTAAATGAATTTTACCATCGATGCCATAGAAACGAGAACATTCCGTCCGAGCGTGTTGAAAGGATTCCCGGCAATCGCCATAGCTACAGACTGATTTATGGGTGGGACATTTTCAAGGTCATCCACGGGTCCGCCCATCTTGTTTTTACCACCGCGCGTGTCAGAAACTACGGAGACAGGGTCACATGTGAAACACACAGGATAAATTCACTCAAGTGAAAAATTCATTCAAGTCTTAATTGTGCAAAATATTTGACACTGCTGAGTCTTTATCCGAGGTAAAACAAACATCGGAATCAAAGATTAATGCAATGTGTGTTCCTATGTAGTATGTAGTAGTTACATAACACACAATACATAACAAAGAAATATAGTAAAAATACTATTATGATAAAAATGCTGTTACACAACAGTGGGTATGATAAATTGGTAATTAGTGGAAACTGATAAATAACCAAGCTTCTGTAAGAGGCAGCAAGCTGACCATATCACCAACTCTTAAGAGTGGGTATATTTGTTTTGTTATTAAATAGTTCACAAAAACTGCAGAACCATTATGACTTTGTGGACATATAATGGTTGATAAATGCATTTGTTAAGTGTTATTCTACCATGAATAACTTGAGGCTATATACTGTACGTGGCTTCATGAGAAATGACATGAACTTTATGGATCAACACGGACTTTAAGTGCTTGCTATTGAATGAGCATGTATACAATTTATATCTCAGAGCACTTGTGTGTTTGATACCATATATACCTGTGAAGTCCAGATAGGTGGTGGAATCAATTATGATCCCCACCAGGGAGAGGTAAAGGCCAGCCACCTTGGCTCTGACATCAGGTTTATCACAGCGCTGGTCAAGATCATGGGAACACAGCAGGCTGCAGATGGCATTGATGGCCTTTCTCTGGACCTTTCCCCTTTGAACACACATACAAGTTTTTAAAGTTTATTTAACCCACTAATTACATTACAGGTGTACATGATTCAAATACTTACAGAGGTTATACACAGTATTTGGCAATTTGGGGTGTTGTATATTTATTAGAATCTGTCCATATCAAAAGCAGGTTTGCAAGCCTGAGGCTGTGATTTTCTTTGATTTGTGACTTGCAACAGTTTGATCAATCTATATACGGAAGGTAATGTCAATTATGTGAGAACCTTGAAAGAAAGTGGAAAGAACTTTACGTACATTGCATTTTTGAAATAACAAAGCAACATGGAGGCAATAACTTAGGGGTAACTTGAAAGTGTCCATGTATTCTTACCCCTCTGACTCCATGTCTAGGGCGGCGCTGAGCTCTGTCAGCAGCAGACCGGTAAGGTAGTGCTGCTGCTTAAATTCCTGAGAAAGCTCAAACAGCCCCAAGATCCTCTGCTGCTCCTGGAAACTACACGAGCCGGAGCTCTGAATGGAAAGATGAAATGAACCAGAGACAGACACAATGTGAGGGGCAAGAACTGGAGTACATTTTTTCCACTTACTATGTTTTTGCAGCTATGATGATATTCTTTATCGAAACAGAGGATCTTTATGCTATATGCAGCACAGATTTTGAACCCTTGTGAGAACCATTTTTTGTAGGGCTGTTTAAATATACGTGACTTGCCATGAATGTCAGTTTATCAGATTGTTGTATTTATTCACTGTCAATGATGAAACAATCCCCTGAATGCCTGAATTACAAATATACATTAGTGCAAATCTTGACTGACAAGTGAACAGACCTGCGAGGAGATAGATGGACACGGTGATGTGGGAGCGGAGGAAGACCCGCTGAAGAAGAGGCTCAGGTTGAGGTAGTGCTCATGACTGCACAGGATTCGCAGGAACTCCAGACGCATGCTGATCAACGTTGGCATTGACACGCTCTTAGCTGACATCTAGAAGGGAAATAGAGCAAAGAATAATCAATTAAACACATGATAGTTCTTCAAAACATATACAGAGGGTAAATAAAATTCATAAATTCATAAAAAAGACACATTAATACGCATGGAAGCCTTTTCTTTCAGAAACAAAACAAAAATTTTTGTCAAGAAACAAAAATAGCTCCTACGGGGGAACTTACTGGATAAATGTGTTTAAAGTCACATGGTTTTGGTTTGTTATCAGTGTTATTCTACCTGGTTGCAGTAGTTTTTCACCAGCTGAAAGACAAACCCTCGGTCCATCAGAGACAGCAGGTCATAGAGGAAGAAGGCCAGGCTGATGTTGACTTTCTCCGCTTGTTCTACCTCCTAAAACAAGAACAATCAACAAACATTAATCACTGAGCTGCACTGAGTGGGTCTTGCCAAGCATCTAGCTGTGAAAGCTGTGCTTCTGATACCACAGAGGCAAATATAATTAGCACCTCCAACTTCCTGTTGTTTGGAGAACACGGACAACATGTACACAGAGGCTGAAACCGCTTCTACCCAACCCAGGACCAGTAAAACGTTTTGGGGACGAAACTCGTCTGATATTGATGAGCAAAATGTACTGTCGTCATCATCATCATATTCCTTACCTTATGTTGTTTGACAAGGATGGTCCCAATCTCAGCTGTAACCACAGAGACAATGGTGGTGATGTCATCTTTAAATCGGTCAGAGAAGCGACTTCTTCGAGGGACACTGTGCTTGTCGAGCTGAGACACATGCTGAGCCATGCTTTTCACCTGTTTACACGCACACACACACACACACACACACGCACACACACACACACACACACACAAAATGCGAATAAGACACAAACAAAATAGGGAAATGCATGTTAACTGAAAGCATGAGTGATCAATATACATGTAGGTCAATAATCTGACAGATGCAAAGTTGATATGATAAAAATGGTGACCTGGTAATAAAAGAGCAATGTTTAATTATTTACTATCACGTTCTATGTTCATTTTTCAGTCAAATTTCAAAAGATGCCTTCAATTAATTAAGGTGAGCATCCTCTAGTGAAGTTATTGAAGGAAGAAATATAAATTAAGTGAGATGAACTGAAGGGATGAAAGTGAATGTGAGTGATGATAGACTTCCAAAACTGAGTGCACAGAGTGAACAGAGAACAAAGTGATAAATTGTCAGGCGTCTTGATAAATTACAGACTGCAGTGATTTCAAAATGCCCTTTTATTCATCACACAATAAAACCATCATTTATCTTTTAAGGTGTGTGGCCACGAGGTCATGTACTGTTTGGTATGAGTCATTTTTATAACACCCATTCATCCATTTAATTCATTACTTAAGTGTCAATCAAAAAAACAAAAAAAAAAAAAACACCCTCTGCAAATTCAACAACAACAAAAAAAAAAGCACACTAACCAATAGCTCAAAGAAGAACCAGGCATATTTGTATGCGTTCTCTCTGCAGACCCCAGTGCTGACGACCATCTGCAGGGCCAGCTCCTCATGAAACTGCTGCAAGGGAGGAAATACACAAACCCTTTGGTGGCTAATTGAATAAACAATATCGTATTAAATGGAGTATCTACAAGCAGTACACTGAATATCACTGTGACTTCATTTTAATACACTGGCTGAGCTTTGAACAGGAGAACAAACATTGACCAAAACCCAAACACAGAGCATTACCAGCGTCCTCAGTGTCACACTCCCACCCTGTGGCTACAAGAGGGAACTGGTGGCTGCCTGACAGCTCTACTTACAGTATTAAGCTGTACAGCAGGACTTTTAAAGTTTGAGTGCTGTAAAATTCATGTTTAATCCTAACAGTAAGAAAAGGAATTCTTCTAACAAAGTTTTAGTTTTTTAAATTAAGTATAAGACAAGAAACAGTTTCTAGTTAAACGTCACCAGATATCATTTAATTTGTTTATTTTCAGGTCAATGTGCTGTCTCCACAAAGTAAATGAATGGAAAATATAAACAGTAATTATTTAAGAAAAAAATAGAATGTATTACCATTTCACACTTCAACCACAAAATAATTACAACAAGATTGCAGTGATAATGTAATCTATTTACAAATTGTGGAACTACTCACAGGACAGTGAATATTACCACCTAAAGTATATTTTCTGAGAAACAGCTGTAAGGCAACTTTCAGATGAAACTCAATTGGATGGAATATATCAAGGGTCTACAGGGGCCACAGAGTTGGTCACTGATCACTGGTCAGTGTCAACCACTGACATCATCAATTCACATGATGCTATTGTTTCCATCTGTAGGAGACAAGACATCCAAAATATTCACAACAGAAGGATGTCACTTCTGCTTTAGGGTAGATGAATTAAAGCAGCTTCAAGAAATACGACATACAATGAAACATGAAAAAGTTACTTTTTTACCTTTCTGTTAGAGGGCCTGGTGCTTCCTGTGGGGTTCTGGTGGTTGCTCACGTCCACATAGGTGGACATGCGGCTGCCTGGGTTGTTGTGGCCCTGGAGACAGAAAAACACAGGTTCCATCACATTGAACGTGATGGATGCATTCATTAGAGTGGGCATCAAGTGGCCTATTACAATACCTAATGTACTGTGGGGATGAACAGCAAATGACTGTTTTGTGTGTATCTGCAATCATGCTGAGATATTTACATACTGCGCTTTGTGTGTGCGTGTGTGCGTGTGTGTGTGTGTGTGTGTGTGTGTGTGTGTGTCCATGCTGTATAGTTTGTCAAATATATAAGAGTACATAGATATAATGCAGCTTATTTAGGCAGAAAGCTTCCAAAACTGAACTTAATTTATGTGACACAAATGCAAATCAGTGTTTTGGTGACTGCTCTTACAGATACATTTCGGGAGATTTGATGTGGGGAAACCTTCTGTACCTTGGCAGAAAAGATGTTTTTGACTTCAGCATCTTCAGCAGAGGTATGTGGACCGGGTATGTCAGGGTTGCTGCTGCTGCGGATTCTGGACTGGAGAAGCATACTGCCAACTGTGGCTGCTGTGGCCCGACCCATGGTGCTGTAACGGCTCTCGGCAGAAGGTATCATACTCCCTGAACCTGAAGACGGTTCCATGGACATGCAAAAAAGCGAAATTCTTAGTTCTTAAGATAACCACAGCAAATATAATCAAAGGAAAAATAACAAAAAACAAAAATGCAAATTCATACTTATAAATGCTTGTCTGTACCTGCATTCTGCATGTCTTGAGGGGGATCAGGCAAGCGAAATACCCAGTAAAGGTAAGTCGCCAAGAGGCTGTTCCTACCCTGCTGGTCCCTGGTAAGCTCCTGACTGTTATGAAGACTGTTGACAATAGACACCACTGATTCGAAGGCTATCTGAGCCAGATTGGCTGAAGGACACAGAAATAAACATGCACGCAAAATGTTAGAGCTAAATCAATAACAGAATGGGACAAAATATGATCCAAACTATCATCATTACAAATAAAAAGCTATCGTTCCACGGTCTTAAAATCTGAATAAAATTTAGCTGCACATTGCAAAACGATGATGCTCGTTTCAGTTATTTATTAAGCAAAATTTCTAAACATTCTCTGGTTCTTGCTTCTCAAGTGTGATGTTTTTGCTGTTTTATATAATTTGAAGTTTGCTTTTGTACTATAGGTTGGACAAAACCAGAAATCAGAAGCAGATACTTTCAGCTCTGGGATTTTCTCACATTTTATACTGTAGCCCAAACAGTAAATTGAAAAATATATTGACATATAAAAATAACAATGAAAATAATTGTTAGTTGCAGCCCTGCAATCAATGTGTGTACCAGTTACAATTTCTATGACTTGATTTAGCTTTCATAAACGCAGATATTCAATATACAACAATGCAAAACAGTGAAAAGCAGCAAATCCTAACGTTGGAAAAGGGCATGTTTTACAGTCTTGCTTGATAAAAATGAGCAATGAATCATACAAAAAATGTTTAAAGCACCAACTAAAATTCCCCAAGATGTGTGAGGTGCCATTTCTCTGCAGTAACAGTCATTTCACAGTTATTTGAATCTTCTTCTTGAAACTTCTCACCGGTTTGGCCAGCGATGACCATGGGCTGCATGATGAGAGTGAAGAGTTTATCCAGCACCAGATGGAGGAAGAGAACCAGAGGCTCTAAACTGGAGGAGGACAGGGAGATGATGCTGAGCTTCAGCTCATGCTCCAGCTTGTTCTCTGGAATCTTCTCCTCCCTGACCCGCAGCGGGAATGTAGCGCCACCCTCCAGGGCATGGCAGAGGGTGAAGAAACGCTGCAGGTGGTTGTCCTGGTACCGAAAAAGGGATGATTTGTTACACTGTGGTACTTGCAGGTGACAGGAACAACAGAAAGAGACAGAGAAATAAATGTAATAAGACAGGGTGCATGTAATACTCCAGGGTGGATGTCTTACTACAGCAGGGTTGGATACTTGTTGTGCTCTGTGTGCGCACATGCATTGATATTTAATCTGCTTGTGTGCATGACAGACAAAGACAGAAAGAGTGGTTCCGCAAAAAAGACAGTCATCTGTGTGTGCAACCACTACTCACTTGTGTGTGTACAGATGACACAGCCTGTATCTCAAGGTTGAAAAGTCCTTTGTGACTCTCCATCCACTTGACTGGCGGGGCCTGAGGAGGAAGTTTCTATACAACAGAGACACAGGAAATGTAACTTTGTGTCTTCCATGTCTATGGTCAGTCCTTAATATGTCTACAGCCTTCTGGGAATACTTGCTCCTTTATATATTAGTTGCACTATATGGACATGAGTGAATTTTTACAATGTACACATAATAGATGTGTATACCTCAGGCGTGTGCATTGAATAGTTGACAGGCAGTCGCTCCAAGACAATGGGCAGACAGAACTGACCAGTCTGCAGCCGGTCATTATTCAAGATGGGCAGCCACTAGATGAAAAGAGACCAGTGAGAATGTACACTTTAACATCAGACAATGCTGTACATAGTTTCTGTGTTTTTACAAGTAGCTCCAGCCATGCTTGTGGCTGTGTGAGGATGGAATTAGTAAATGTTAATGTTAGCAGGCACTGTGTACATGTGAAGTGTGTGTAAGTAGTAAAGGACAAAATCTCACAGAGTATCCAATGAGCGTTTCACAGCTGCCACTCTGGTTCTGTTTCTGCTGGCAGCTGATGTGGTAGAAGGTGAACAGCAAGTGATGTCTCTCCGTCAGACGGGCAGGAAGAGACAGCTTCACTTCCTCATAGAAGTCTGGGGACCTGAGAGATAGGGAAATAGGTAGTAACAATGAAAGAAACAGAGGAAAAGAGGGATGTAAGGGAGTGTGAGAGAGAGATTTGGGGCGAGACAGAGTAATGACAAAAACAAGACATCACAAACCGTGTAATGTAATGTAATGTAATGTAAACTCAGTAATGTGTACTTGCTTGTTATGGTAGGTAACAGGGGTGTAGACTTCCTGTAAAAATTCGGGGCCATTTGATTTCCCAAAAATGACCTGAGAATGGACAGGGGGGGGAAAACATATTAAAAAAGGTACAATAATTTATAATTAACAGCATAAACTTCTAGACAGTATTTTACAGGGCTGTTCGTCTATACCAGTGACTCTGTAATTAATGTTACTGTACTTTTTCTAAAAAAATCTTTCAGAACACACATAACATTACATAATAACTCCTTAAAGCATGGGCTCACAATTCAAAAGTAGTCTTAATACAACAGTCAGATGCCCATAAGATTTTTATTTTACTTTTATTTTTTCATTCCTCCTGTCCATAAGGACCCCCTCCTAATAATCTTTCAGTGTAAATTTCCGTCATAAAAGATTCCTCCATTCAGGCCACTATTTTAACAATCTAAGCACATGGCCTGAATCGCGTGGCGCAGGTGCGTTTGAGACGTGTCCAACTACAATTTTGCTAATTTACCATTGGAAAAAATGGTCAGTTTGCCAGGTGCATGGTTCAAAGGGGTTGTACTTAATCTGTGAATTAGTAACAGATTAGGTTTGTTTGTAACATGCAATACACCAAACAGAGTGTCATCTCCCATTCCCTTTAAGTGCCAGGTGAGCAGGTACCTTGGCGCATTGCTATTATAATGGCGGATGAATGGCGCATTATTAAAACAATCAACTGACTTATTTTGTGTTTTATTGCTGCATGAGTGTTTTCTTTAATGATTCACTTATATGATTAGAGAGGCTGCTGTCAGTCATGTTAAATGTTTCCATGTGCGCAATAAAGTGATAGCAAACATCATGGGGCATTTAAGCAGCAAAACAAAACACTGTGTGTGAGACCTTTTGGATGTGTAGAAGAACACAGAACATGAATTAAAATGAGATCCTGACTGACAGTGTCGGCGTGTCGGGAGATTTTAATAATCAATGACGTTACGCTGCTGAGCCTTGTCGGTAAATGCCATAGGTAATTGCGCACAGCGTCTCTCTTACCATCGGAGTAATGCGCCCCTAAAATAACAGACAAGTACTGTGCTGTTGACTTTAGACCAGTTTTTTGGGCCAATGGCGCAATCACTTTCTGTTGTCTCCAGACAGCAATGAGCTAACAGTTTGCCCGACCACACCTCATTTTTAGACCATGGGCGCACAGATGGGCACAAGTGCATTTGCTATTTAAACAACAAGGGCACTTGACATGAAAATGACATCTGCGTCGGTTTGCAAGACAGGGGCGTCTGTGTTTCAAAAGTAGGGTTCTATGATTTCCGTGGAAAACACAGCTGGAATCATGGAAAAGACTTGGTTTCCACAGCATTTAAGCCAAATGAACAGAAAAAACAATAACACTGTTTCTGTCCTCTGCTCTCTGTGTTTCACTGAGGACTTTCTATAAACATAGCCTATTTGCATAACATAATAAATTCACTGACATTGATTGAATGTTTAATATTTTTTTATCTTATTAAATTTTATTCATCCATCACATGATGGCAAAATACGCTTTAATCATAAAACACGGAATTGGTAAAAATTACAATGGATTTCAAAGTGACATACAAACATTTATCTAAAGCTACAATGAGGCTTCAGCCATCCAAATAAGTCATTTCAAGTGGATATCTTCCAAAATAAAAGTTTTTTTTCCCCCACAGCAGCTCAACAGGGAAATAGAGTCCAGGGAAACACAAAGTAGGAATTTTTGACTAAAAAGGCTATAGCTTTTTAAGCTATCCACTTGAATTTTGTACACAACAGGGACTATGCACTTTATCCTCCATCACTTACACCAAAAGTGCATTAGGAAGGGATCTCTTAATGGTCAGTATGAATAGGACACAGCAAGATACAGCAAGCAAAACCTTTTTTTAGTGCTCATATGATGGATGCCTGGCTACTGTTTTAGGACAGACTTGAAAATATGTGAACCTACCCTTTAATGTATGTATTTGAGTTGTAAATTATGCCAAATGTAAATGGCGCGATGCACACACTTCCATGAGCAAATTCATTGGAATTATCAGGAAAATCAATTTCCCTGTTATAACAGTGCTGTGAGATCACAGATTATAACCAGCAGCACTCACAGGCATGGAGCAGGCCGGGTCCTCTCCACTCATAAACTGGATTTTGATGGAGATGTTTCTTGATGATGTAAGCCTGTTAACAAAGTTTAGCCTCTGGGGGTAGACATAGAGCAGGTTCCTATATAGAAAAGAGAAGAGGGAAAGAGTTTGCGGGAAAACTTCCTGTTTAATTAATACATGAAAAAATCATGCAAAACCTTTGTGTAATAAAATCAAGCAGTCCCACTATACATCACAAGATGGCACTTTCTGTACAGCTACAGCAAAGTCATGTGGCTGTAAGGTGACAGTAATGTCACAGAAAAGTCAGAACAACCAGTAATTTACTGTGACCTGTGGTTTTAATACTACACTGTAATCTGTCTTGAAACCTGGAATACAGGGAAATACCGCAGAGTACAATGAACGAATGCTCAGAGAATGTCACGATGTAATTGCCATGCACAGGACTTGTTCACACATGAAGTTACTAATGCCTTGTTACAAGAGAAACCATTTTGGAACAGAGTGTTGATTTAAACCTCTGCTCACACAGGCAACCTCCCTTGTGTTACACTATGAGGCAATTTCACAGGTAGCCTGTATGGAAAGGCCTAAAAATAGGCAGTACAGTAAAAAGAGCAAAGCCACAAAGTGATGCCAGCTCTTGAGTGATGAGTACAGAATGACTGTTGCCTCTACCCTTTCAAAGAAGTAAACTGTCTGTCGAGGAAACAAACCTTGTTCAAGCCATGAATCACTTGCTTTTCAAAACCTTGTTTGTATTGCATCCTGTTGAGGTGCAAGTTGCGTATAAGCAGAGCTCCTTTACTCTGACAATCTACTTGATATACTTACAAAAATGTATAAAGATTTGGATCAGAAAAATAAAAATAAAAATCTTATTTCCTTCCCCTGTGTTGAGTAGCTGTGGATATAAAATGCCATATCCCAAAGTGTAAAAGTGTGTGATCATTCAGTTATAACCCACCTGTAAATGCTGTGGGGGACATAAACCTCACTGGATGGAAACTCCAGCACCTCTTTGGTCAGCCGAGTATTCTTCTCTGCCACAGGTATCAGAGGGATGAGTTCAGTGGACAAACATGCCGATGGCGTGACGTGGACTGGAGACATGTCTAGTTTTATGGAACCTAGAAGACACAAGATAAGTGAAATTCACAAGTCAGTCACCTGCATAAACAGTGTACTGCATATATCATGTGATATCACGTCATGTCATTTGAATTCTTCACATAATCAATAACCAAACAGACACACACAGATAAAATAAATCCAAACTTTAAAGGAATAGTTCCACATTTTCTGGAAATACGCTTTTTCACTTTCCTACAGAGTAAGTTGAGAAATCAATCTTGTGTCTGGTTAGCTTAGCACAGCATAAAGACTAGTAATGGGGAAAAACAGCAAACTAGGTAACAAAATCTGCCAACCACCACCCCTACAGCTCACTAATTAAAACGTTATGTCTCATTTGAATCAAATTTGTTCGTACAAAATGTTTGTACAAGGCTAAAAACAACACGTTGGTGACGACAAGACTCCTGGAAGTAACTGCATCTAGCCAAAGAAATTGCCCAGCACATAAACCTTTACATCCAACAGACAGACATGAGAATGGTATCAATCTTCTCAACTCTCTGCAAGAAGCCAAATCATCCTAATTCCCATAATGTAGAACTAATCCCTCAAATAATAAAGCAAAAAAGATGTGATGAGAGATGACCTGGTATTGTCTTGAATCTCCTCTGTGGAGTGGAGGTTTTCTTGATCTCAGCCAAGAACTTGAGCAAGTCCTCATCACTCAAACGATCTCCCTCCTGACACACGCACACACAGTTAACAACAGAGTGATTTAATTGAAAAGCCATGGTGACAAGAAGCAAACAACAACCTCCGAATATAATGTCAGAATAAAAAAAGTAAGTTGCAGCCTTTGCTTCAAAGATAATTTAGATGATTTTAACAGAGATGTCAATGCACAATTAGCAGTATTTATCCAAAGTCAGTGCTTCATGGTAAAAACATTACTAATGATGATGGAATAGCATGTTTGATCATATGATGAGACAAGGCCAGGCTGTAACCACCAGTTTGTCTGTCTGATGTATTGTATCTTAGGTCTCAAGGAAGTAACACATTTTTTATAGATTCTTCTCTCCTTCGTGGATGTCAGACCTGTTTGAAGATGGGGCTGAGAGTGATGGTGGCAGGTTTGAACGCAGAAATGGTACAAAATTGATCATCAATGGTATTGTAACGTTCAGAATTCCTCCTGGGAAGCTGTGCTCTCCGGTCAATGCTGCTAGATTTACCTAGAAAAACAAAGTATAGTGGTCATGGGTCAAATGATGCACACACAGCTGTAAACATCTATGGAAATGCAGACACATGCGTGCAAGTCATCACAACATATATCTGTCAAACAAAGACACTAATCAGGAAAAACACACCTCCTTTTAAGCTGTCAGAGTCGGTGACATCGCGGTCTATCGCAGCAGTGGAGACAACCTCCATGATATTAACGGTTGTCCAGGCGAAGGGCATGCGATAGCGGCCCAGCCTCTGGCAGAACATCTCCGCCTGACCTCGCAGCTTCTCAAGCTTGTCCTTGTTCTGAAGGACCAAACGCAAAATTGAAAGTTATTAAAATGAATGCTAAAAATGTCTTCAACCTTAAAATATAAAATACAAGTTTATACGAGTTTTAATGAGGAAAGCAAAAAGTCAAAATGTGCAGTATGTTCTTAGTGATAAATAGTTGCTCTGCCACATACCTTTGTAGAGTCACATTCCTTCATTGTTATGTACGGGTCAGCACAGTCACTGATCTCTCCCTGCTGGAGAACCTTTTCAATCTATAACACAGACAGGTCGCACATAAGCCTTTCCAAGCATCTCAAGGCATAAGGCATACATACAGCGAGAGAGCAAGAGATACAAAGGCAGCACTGCACTGAATTACAGGATATATAAAACTGATTTGGGAGCAGGACTAAGTTACCCTGAACAAAATTATAAACACAACACTTTAGTTTTGCCCCCATTCATCATGAGCTGAACTCAAAGATCTAAGACTTTGTACAAAACAGGCCTATTTCTCTCAAATATTGTTCACAAATCTGTCAAAATCTGTGTTAGTGAGCACTTCTCCTTTGCCGAGATAATCCATCCACCTCACAGGTGTGGCAAGATGCTGATCAGACAGCATGGGTATTGCACAGATAATGCACAGCTCTGGTGGACATTCCTGCAGTCAGCATGCCAAATGCACGCTGCCTCAAAACTTGCGACATCTGTGGCATTGTGCTGCGTGATGGAACTGCACATTTTCAAATGGCCTTTTATTGTGGCCATAATGACAGATTTGTGAACAATATCTGAGAGAAATAGGCCTTTTGTGTATATAGAGAAAGTCTTAAATCTTTGAGTTCAGCTCATGATGAATGGGGGCAAAAACTAAAGTTTTGCGTTTATAATTTTGTTCAGTGTAAAGCCAGGAGAAAAGTAGCAGAATCATGTTACTTCTGCCACATACAGTGTTCTTTCATCAATGATATGGATTTCATTATTACCTTGATGACCAGGTAGATATCTGGAGCAGGATAGGTGATGGAGAAGATGGCAGATCGGGCCAGGGAGGACGGATCCACATGTGGAGTGTGAGGTTTCAAGAAATTCTTAAACTGATCTGAGTTCAAATCAAAGTAGAAATTCTCTGATATCTGGAGGGAGACAGATGAAAAGTTTAACTTTTATTTATTTACGTTTGTTGATAGAAGTTTTTACACATCAAATTCAGGACATAACAAAATGCAAAACATCACTAAATTTTTCTACAGGGTACTATGCTCGCTCCCTTTCTTTTCACCCTGTACAGATCAGACTTCAGACAAAACACAAGCAACCATCACCTGCAGATGCTCTCCAATGATCCTGCTATCGTTGGGCGTGTATCTGAAGGTAACAATCAGGAATACCAGGAGGTCATCGCTAACTTTGTCAACTGTTGTGAGCTTAACAGACTTTACATCAATGCCAGCAAAACAAAGGAGACGGTGGTAGACTTTTGCAGGAAGGATCATCACACTACACCGGTGAACATTCAGGGTTTGGATATCGGGATGGTCGGTACATACAAATACCTGGGTGTTCACCTCAACAATAAACGGAACTGGTCCAACAACACAGATGTCTTGTTCAAGAAGAGCCAAAGTGCTAACGCAGGTCCTTCAATCCAGCGGCTGTCAGACTTTACAACACAACAATGACATGAGGGAATACGGTTTGTTGTCTCTGTAACATCAATATGCAATATCAATGTTATTCATCACTTTTTTCACTTTACTTTTTAATTTCTCCTGTACCATGCAAATATATATTATAAAATACACGTATGTACATATAGATTATTTATTTACTCTACACTATTCTGCTGTAGATTTCTGCACCGTGCCATCTCCTTTCCTCGACCAGTGCAATGTTCATATCTGTCGCATCTATATATATTATGTTTATATAGCTCCTATTCTGTTATTCTTATTTTTCTATTTTTTGCCATCTGTTATATCTGGAGCTGCTGTAACAAACAAAATTTCCCCAGTGTGGGATCAATAAAGTCTTGTATTATCTAAAGCACAATGATTTAATTAATTATTTAGAATGAGTTGAGAAATGTAAACATGCAAACCAAAGACTGATCCTGGAATATCATCTGTTCAGTCCACATCACCGTTGCCTTTCCAAATGACCTCAGGCTAGGAACACAGCCATATGTCCTAATCTGGCCTGGTGTGCGTCATGTGATCCTGTTCACTAGAAAGCCATTAACTACTCTCCTTGATTCTGCTCATCCCATAGGACCTCCATTACACTAACCACACCAAAGCAGACTCACAGGCAGCCAAAACTGGAATCCTCAAGACTCTAACTTTGATCAGATTACACACTCAGAAAAGTATTCTTGATCAAATGATGATTTTAAATCTGATTTTGTTAATAGCAGTCTAACAAGCAGCAAAGCAATACTCCTACATAGATTTTGAGATGGAGATGACCCTGTTCACTTTAAACAGGAGGCACATTTACTGCAAGAGTGAAAGTTCTCAAAAGACTGGAGTGGAGGAGTGCACCTCTCACTGACAAATGGAATTGCGGAAATCTTTTCTCAATAATCAAAAGCCAGCTGACTTAAATAGCATATTATGCTTTATATTCTCATTAAACAGTCATGTCAAACAAAGTCCAAGCACTTGTGAAAGGCAACCTTCAATCCACTATATTTGGATTCATTGTGACAGGAGGAATGTAGTAGCTCTTTTTAACATTACATGTTTGTCAGACCACAGAGGCGATGTGTCTGACTGACTGACACACATTGTTTAAGAGCAAATGCATAACATTTTCTAATGGGACACACTTGTGTCAGTGTTGCCAACTTAGCAACTGCATAGCAAGATCTCGCGTGTTTGAAAACCCCTTTGACAACGTTATTCAAAAACTAAGAGCCAAGTGACAAACCTTACGATGCTTTTGGGCAGACATTAGTTACTTTCCCACAAACATTCTCTCATACAGCTCCATGAATCATCAGTTATACGGCTTACTGAGGCCGCTGCTTCAGTGACCAAGAAATATCTTGTCAACCAAACAAGAGACCAACTGAAACACGTGGCTATCTGATTACAGACTATCCTGCATGAAAAAACGCTGTGGTGTTGTTTCTGATCACTCACTGTGTCCTCTCAACAGGCCTGCAGACACAGTCCAGTAAAACTAGGCTAGCATAGTCTTGTTGAATAACAACAAGAAGACTATTAAATGCCTAAAGTAAACTTGGAGAGAAACAGACATTTCTAAACTCTTTTACTGTGAGGACAAATCTGTATCTACTCTGAAACCTGTCTGTTTATATCCATGAATCTGATATCATAAGTAGGCCACTTGTTGGGTCAAATCCTGTGTCTCCACCTTGGCTGATGGACCACAGAGACATGGTTAATAACTAGAGTATTATATGGAATTATATGAACATCTGCTGCAGATTTCACAGATGCAAAACAGCAAAACTGATGTGAACAAAAAATAAACACAGACACAGAACAAAACAAACAAATTCCCAGGAGCGGCAGCAGTAAGGATGCGGGAAAAGAGAGAGAATGAGGCAAAGGGGCAGCAGGAATGTGGCAGAAAGTAAAATTTAACACTCTTGAGGAGACAGAGAAAAAGAAACAAGGGAACTGAAGAGAGCTGGAGAAAGACAGAAAGTCAAAAAGAAAGTAAAAACATGAGATATTCAGAGATAAATGGGTCAGCAGCAAAAGCTTCATAGTACAAATAAACCAAACTGACAAAACAAGCTGGACAGTTTCTCCTTCACTCAGGTAGAGACATATTTCATAGCTCCTCAACAGTCTGTGCCTAATGTAATAGGCAGGAAGTCCACAAGGACACACTTTGGTTAAACACATAATAAAATGAGTCAACCTTAGCAAAATACCCGTGACAATGTGACACTTGAGCTCTGCTCTCATGGATATTCTCAACTTACAGTACACTCTTTGACATATATACAAACTATTTCATTACAGTGCACAACTTATACTGTTTGTGTTATCCGAAGACCAGCTTATAGATAGACCATTTTCAAAATCATCATTTTACCCATCCGACCATCTTAGAGTCATCATCATAGGAAGCAGCTGGGCAGCGCTGAGAAGAGGGCAAGACCGATGGCTAAAACCCCATCTCGTCTGAGTGATCTATGAGCACTTAAGCACAAACTAAATCCTTCCAAACCCTTCACCCAAAAAACTATCCAGCTGTGTAAATCCACAAAAAAACATGCAAATGGCTCACAACATGACGACCCCCAGGGGGCATAAATATGTGAGGATGATGAGACATGAAACCTTGTAGATTACACTGATCCCTCACTGCCAATAAACTACGACGGCCTCCCCGCATCAACAGGAGGCACATAACACACAATAATTACTACGACACAAGGATGGAAAAAAGACCAGAAACACTTCAATAAAATGAGATTTGCAGTAAACACTCTCCCCGAAATGCATTTTTAGGACTGTAGTTTGCCATCAAAGTCACGTGACCAGTGTTCCTTTCTGTTAATGAAGTTTTTCTCATTTCGACAAATGTCTTCATTTTTGAGATGCTTCCGCTTGCTACATTACCACAAATTGTTACCAACAGCAACAATTGGGGTTCAATGTCTAGCACTACAACACTACGAACAGTAGCCTCAAAATAATCTATGTTGCTTTTGAATGTCCCATTTGAAAATTATTAACTATGAATTCAGACACGTATATTATTGAGGGAGTTTTGATACCATTTGGGTAAACTTGGACCATGCATTATGCCTTTAATCATCTGTATTACTGCCTTTGTGCTTTGATTTCCCATCGTTGCTGTCAGCTTTACAGCTCGTTGTTTGTTTTATTGTCCAACCCCGGCACTATATTTGCCACGGTGAACGTGTCACACAAGTTTCCAGGACATGTTATAACATGCTTTTAGTCAACATTAGAAGCACAATTAAGACAACAACGAAATTGTAAGGACTATTATGAAGCAAAGTTGTCTTACCTTTTTCTTCTCTTTCAGGTCATACAAGGCCATAGTGGCAAATATGGGCTCAATGTCAATCTCAAACCTATGAATCCAAGAAGGAAAAGGAAATAAGTAATTTAATAATAGCAAGAGAGACAAATACATTTTATACGTTTTTTCCTTTAGCTGTGCTTAGATTCTTTTTTTCATATTCTATTCTATTCCTGTAGATTATTGTTGTACCAGGAACCAACAAAATGAACTACAGTAAGTGATGAAATGTTTGAACTGAGGGTTAAAGGTTAAGGGGATGAAGTTTCCAAACCACCGCAAACAGAGAAATGAGTTCAACTAAAACATTTGCATTTTTATGGATTGCAAGAAGAACAAGTGAGATCAAGAGTGAAAGGCAGAGTGTGTGTGTGTGTGTGTGTGTGTGTGTGTGTGTGTGTGTGTGTGTGACTGACAGAAAGCTGAAGAAGGAGACACAGAGTCTAAATCCCAAAGAGAGAGGGAGAAACAGTTATTTTCTGGAGAAGAACAGCAACCATTGCACAGCACTCCTCCACTCTCCCACACTGCGCTGTCCGTCACATCTACTACAAAGCCTTTTTGAAAAACAACCGCCTTGACTTCTAGGTCGTGATCAGATGTGACATAAAGAATGTACTGTATGTTAAACGCTAAGCAAAAGTCATTTTCATTAACATTTCCCTAACACACAAATAACTGTTGGTTCCTTGTCCAACTTCAACAAGAAACAGATAGCATCTGTTTAACCCCTCCCCCTTCAGTATCATGAAAATGTATGACATACTTGATGGTCTGGCATCGGACCAGGATGCGGTCTCCAGTGTGTTCTTTGGGGCAGTCAGGGATGGGCCGGATCTCTACCGCATCTTCCTGGAACACAATAGCAGAGAAAATTTTAAACCATGCAAAAAGAAATGGAGGAGGGGATTTGGGATCTTAAACAAGATTCACAAGTGTTCAAATACTAATTGTGAACACATGTAATTTTCCCTGCAGTATAGAGTCCACTTTTATAAAGGAACAGAGACAGTGTGCAACTACTTGTTATTTTCATTTTATATTAATCTGCTGATTATTTTCTAGTTAATCATCTATAAAATATAAGAAAATAGTGAAAATAAAAAATAGTATTGTTTTAAAAGATGGTTGTAATGTTGTTGTAATGTCTTGTATTTATGGGAATTATTATTTCTCACATGTCTCATGAATATTGACAGACTAAAGATAAACCAGAGACAACATCAGATCCCCCTTGATGCAGCTAAGAGGACCAACAGCACTTGGGGGATGAAGCGTGGTATATTGGAGAGAAGGTGTACGACTGATTTTGCTCACATTAGTTTGCATCTTGGTGTGTATGCCTTCTTAAATATTTTCAAAATCGGGCACAAAGAGAGTGACAGACTAACCCAAACCCACGTGGTTCCCACATGCTTGCATGTATATTACAGCATGACAGTACTAACTCCATCTATATCTCACCTCATCGGCCGGTGGGTACAGAGCAAACAGCTCGGGTAGTCTGTTCCCCTGCCGTGCATCCTGGTTGATGCGGTCCAGCTCCTCGTGGCTGCTGTAGGCCAGCAGCCCCTCCACTCTCTTGTCCGGGGTCAAAAACCGCAAGTTAAAGTCGGAGGAGGTCAGTGTGCGGCCAGAGTCATCACTCAGCCCCACTAGAGTTGGAGACTTGACCTGGGGCAAGGACAGAAAGAGAGGGTTAAGGGTGATGACAGGGGTTAGAGGGGGGAGAGGACAGAGAGAAGGGGGGGGGGGGGGCAATGAGAGAAAAACAAAGGATGAGGGGGTATTAAGGCAAAATATCAAGTTGGATGTTATTATAAGAGACATCAAAGAAAATGGGTGCAGGGTAAAGAATGGATAATTGTTCAAAAGGTAGTTCTTCCTCCATTTAAACAATATTATTTAAATGGGGTTTGAGTAAATGGAAAAAAAAGGCACGCATACTACTTGCCAACCTTACTGAACTTCCAAGAGATTCATGATTTTCCTCCCCAGTGTTCCCCCATGGCTTTACATCTCCCAACCTTCCTCCATTGTTTGATCAAACTACAAAATGTGTCATCTATAATGTATTTTCTAACAACAGAATATCAGGTCTATACTTCCACAGCATTTTATGAACCATCAACAACATATACTGCAAAAATGCAGCCTCGATGGTTATGTTGTTAGCACACACAGCAAACAGCTAACGGGCACTTCAGCAGTCTAGACAGTTTCTGTTTTGGCCTGGAGACAATGACAGTCTCTGTTATCTTCTGATCAAGGCTTACTGGAGAACACACAACACAGGCTCATGTTTATGTTCGCTGCATGCTGCATAAAGTGATGTGATAGGAGTCTTTTATATAAAAATGTTCAGTAGGTGCTTCCTTCTTTGTTATAAACTTGCAGTTTTCTTGTTGTATCTTCACAGTAATGTACAAAAAAGCCAATACAGTCCAGGAAATAAGACCATTAACTTTTTGCATACAATGGAGTGGTATTACTGACTTGTCAGTAGGGATATCAATACAGTGTACATGAGCTGAACAGGTTCTGTAATCAAAGATCTTCCAGCAGGCTGATGGCTTGCCAGACAAAAATGATAGCAGCAAAGATGAACACCAAGCAGAGGCATGAGTTTAAAGCTTTTAAATTTACTCACTTTATATAACAGTTTGATATGCAAATGTACTCAAATGCATCCTCTCAGACGAGTTAGGTCTAAGTGGAGAATCAAGCATCAGAAATGCATAAAAGATGTCTTCTGATGTGCATGTTGTACAAAATATCTCTGTTGCCCTGTGGCTTCTGTTAGCTCCACCTTGTTTTCTGCTGTTTTGGATGGAATATACAGGATGTAGCATGTATTGATATCACCAACCTCTACAATCTTTTACGAATAAATCCAAACTCTTACATTAAAATAAACAGTTTTTTCTATTTCCTTGGGATGCCGGGGAAAGAGAAGCAAAGGCAACAAATACTTTTTGAGCATCTTTAAAACTTTGTTGTGCCTGTGGCTTAAAGTACCAACACATATTATTTCAAGTCTTATTTCACTTGCCAGGTGCTAAGAAGAACCTGTAATTTCTAATACATTGCCATAAAACTGTAATAAAATCAGCTGACTGGAGCATCCTCTGCCCATTGGTAAGAGGTCTCTCGGGCTGGCACTGGCACCTTATGGAATTACTCAGACTCAGCTACAGGGCAGGGCATAATCTCGCTGCTACCATGCTACATCCTGCTTTGAACAATCCCTGTTGCCACCCCTCTATCCTTGTCTCTTTCCTCCCACCATCCATCAATCTCACTTCCTGGTGCTCCAACCAAAGGCTACAACTGACCGAGCGTCCACCCTGGTGAAGCTTCCCCCTGTTGAGGCTTCAAGGGACCATCACACCATGATCCCAGGGCTATTGCTAAACCAGATTGGACCATAGAGAAAACCTATTAAGCGCAGAAGGACAATAGTTCTGTTCTTCCCATCTCTGTCATTCTCTTTCTGGCATACAGATCATGGGAAGCCCGCAGCGGTAATTAGGGCTTTTTGGTTTGGGTGATTAACCAGAATTGGCAGGGATGGGGTGACGGGGGGGGAGATGTTACCCAGGGATGGCTGTGTAACTTGCCAGAGGCTGGGTGTGATGCTCACTGGGACTTGGATTGGTCGGGACTGTCTGATGCTGGGAGCAGGGGATTTGGCCGCTATTAGACAAAAGAGCTAGAGAGGGAAGTGAGAGAGGATGGGAACTTGGCTCGAAAGAATGTCAGTGCAGTACTTAGGGAAGGATCTGAAATGAAATTAAAGGACTGAGCCATGCAGACGTAAGCTTATTTAAATAGTAGAATAGAAAAAAATAGAATACCATGTGTTTAACCACAACATCTCTCTGACTATCTGGCTAAACACACAGAGGGGATGAGAGTATATAATATTCAGGTTTAGTTCTGTGTAAGCCAGGCTGACTAAACTTGACAGAGCCACAGTGGAACGAGTGATAGGAATAACAAAACGCTGTTGTGTTCATTATTAAAGCACCCCCCACCCCAGTCTCCCACCCCTCCCTCACATTTCACATTCAGTATTGTCGTCTCTCTAAAGCCTTGATCAGTATGGACTACCATACTGCTCTCACTTACTGGTCTTCCTCTCACAAAAGACACTTTAACTAAGTGCAACCTATTGGTATTCAAGGGCAACGTTACAAAGTAGTGTTTCTTGTAGTTCTGTTTAGGAAACAAACAATTTGGCAAAATGCACCTATTTGCTTGCCGAAGTCTGGTACCACTCTCATATATGTGCATTAAGTATAGAGACAGAGCACAGAAGCAATTAGCTTAGTTTAGCTTAGCATAAAGACTGAAAGCTTTCAAAAATCCAACTACCAGTGCCCTACTCACACTAATTAATAATTAACATGTGGTATCTCATTGTTTATATTTATTAGTATTTTTTGGCTTTATTTGATGGACTCAACAGTCTGTACACACATGCAAAACTTATTGAGACAATTCATTTTAACAGAGTAATTGATTCCTTAGCTAGATCCGTTTCCTCTTCCTAGGCTTACGGTTTTGTGAATTGATACTCTGTGTCTTGTTTCATGTTTGTGTGCATGTTGTTTAAAACACTATTGCTGCTATCTTGGAAAGGGCTCCCATGGAAAAGACATTCTGTAATCTCAATGGGGCTTACTCGAGGAATAACAGTTCAACGTTCTGGCCAGCTCTTTTGCACAGTGCATCTGCTGGTTGCATGGCAATCTCACAAAACAAATAGATTTCAGAAAGTAACCCCTGGCTGTTGCTCATCAGAAGATAGTTCCAACACGTAACCCTCCAGTACAGCTACAAATTGTTATTTTTATTTTTCGGTTTGTGTACAAATTAAACAAACAAGGTACAAAATGTTCATTTGTGATCTTTATAGGTTTCTGGAGAGCCGGGCTGCTTAATTAAACTAATATGGCAAACTCAATCTTCTATTGGCTGTAGCTTCACATAAGAGTGACTCTGTTATAAGGACAAACTTTATATGAAAGCAAATTTCCCAAAATGTCACTATTCATTTGAATTTAGCTTCATATTAATAAAGTTAATACAAATGTGTATACTAAGCTCAACCCGAACTGGAATAATTTATTTAGTATACTCACTTTAAAAAAGGAACCTAACCAAGCCAAAAACCATTTCAACAGCAACAAGCACATGTAGAATTGGACCTAATAAGTGCTGATACACAATAGTAGACTGACTGAAACAATAGCAACAAGACATGTCTAAATAATTGTTAAGGACAGGATTAATTGAAGAAGGAAAGAAGTGAAGAATTATTCCAGTGTAGCAAGAGTGGCTCTGCAGAAGTGTTTCTGAAGAAGGCTACTATTGAGTAACAGATTGTTGGTTAAGATACAGGTTGAGTCAAACTTATACGTAGGAACCTTAGTTCAGGTTCTTAAATTAAAAGACTCGGGTTTGAGTAAGGATGTTAGTGTGGATTTCTTAAATGAAGATTTTCATATATAACTGGAACTCCAGACGGGGGCTGTGTGCGTTCAAATTTTGGTTGGCTGTGTTTGCGTGTCTTACTGGCTTCTGCTGTGGGTTCTCGGGCTGGACGTCATACTCAAAGGTCTGCTTCTGAAGGCGTTTGTGTAGGCCTGCTCGCTCCGAATATGTGCTCCAGCCATCCCCCTGGCACCTACACACACACACACACACACACACACACACGGTCAAAGCAACACACACATTAAAAACAACATGCATGGTTACAACTGATACACCTCTGCACTTCTAATCAAACTAGATAACAAAAACAGAAGCCTTACGCAATATATTCACAGCATACGCGTGTATTGTATGCGAGTGTGTGTGGGAGAGAGAGCAACAGAGATAACACTACAAAGTATTCAACAGAAAATCCCAGTGAATAAAGTTTATCAGGCTCTCTTGAGCCTCTTGTTTCCTGTTTCACAGACACATGCAACTTCCCAGATAGTTGCACGTGTTGCAGAGTGTCACAGTTAAAATACCGCTGAGGGCATTATTTCTGTGGCTAAAATACTGCAACATACACACGAGTATCCACAACAAGCGGATAAACACTGAACATTCTATTAGTTTTCCATTTCGAAACTCCAAACAGATTCAGTTTTGTCATTTCAAAAAGGTATCTGTCAAGGTATCTACTCTGTATGTGGAACCAAACAGCTATACCACTCTGAGAGTCCTGACCACTCGGACTGTAACGGTTGCGTTTCTGTAGAAGATTTACCTTCTGGAGACCACAAGCCACGGCTGGGTGTAACTCTTTACACAGTCTCTCACATGTGCATCCAACTCCACTCTACAAGAAAAGAGAAGGAGGAGGGGGATAAGAAGACATGTACACACATTCTCGTGCAGACACGTATGCAAACATTCACAGACAATTGGAAACTTGACATTCCTCTTCTATCTTAATTTGCACTTCATGGTCAAGGTGCTGGACAAGTAAATGCTGTGTGGGATTGTATTGACAAAACAGTTATTGTTTTTTATACTGCGAAAGTCAGATTTCAAAGATAAACTTTCCTGCATGGAATTGAGAACCACCTTGGAATGCAAATGAGACGTTTTTGTGTGCAACTTTTACTGTAAGCAAAATCAATCTGACCAAAACTTTGTAGAACGAGGATTCAGTAGTTGAATGCATGAAGACTGTCGTTTGACTTTTAACTATCTGCAAGGTGCTGAAACAAACATCTTCTGTAATTATTCCACACTTTTTTAAACATCTTTTCTGAAATACTTTTTACCAAACAGTTCTAATAGCTTGCCAATTTCATTTTAGGGAGGAATTTATTTTCATGGTCAATGCCAAACATCCTGTGACCCACCCATCTTCGGGGACAGAGTGTCGAACAGTGCGACACTCCTTCTCCACATGCTCCACCTTCAGGTCATCGTCGGGGAAGTCTCCAAGTTCATGCATCAGGGCTGAGTCTCCACTTTTTAATTGTGACATCAGGAACTCCTCCAGGTCCAGCGGCTCCACTGCTTCATACGACTGAGGCTGCAGAACGAAGGGGTGATGGAGGAAGGGAAGATTTAGGACATGTAGCAACAAATATCACATGAGGTACAGATGGAGACTAATATTTGCTTAAGTGCCATTTAAGGGTTATCATCAGAGTGGTGTGGATGATCAAAAGGGCTTCCTATGGATGAATATTAATTATTTTGCATAAATTTAAATCATACCAAGACACTGCCTCAGAATTGTCTGAGGAGGTCTTGGGTTACAAAAAAGGAAAACAACAAGCAAACAACAAAATAGATTGATAGTTTGTGAAAAGCTAAAGGGTGATTGATGAGTTTGTACAGTCCACATAGTGCAGAGAAGTAGTGAGGGAAAAGATAGCAAGGGAGGTGGGACCAACCAAACATGTTGAATCATGACTATTTTCTAATAGCTCATACCTGACGTGGAACAAAAGAGTGGAGCACACACATAAATAGAAACTAGAACAAAACTGGCCTGTATCAAGACAGCCAGGTGATTTTTTTCAGTAAACCTATTTTTAGACATAAACTCTATCAGCACACAATACAGAGCTACAACAGATCAAAGGCAAAGCTGCAATCACTTTTATGTACAGTGCAAATGGGCTGAAATTTTCATTTGAAATCAGCACATATTGTTCAAATCATCAGTGTACACAGTGAAACAGATTCTCACTGTCCCTTAAAGGGGAAGAATAGGCATGCTTTTCATCATCAGAAAGAACTCACAGGAGAAAAAAAAAAAAAAAAAAAACACAACTGATGAGATAACACACGTCCCTTTTGTGGTGCCGGGCTGACTATGGGGGTAAAAGGGGGACCTGCATGGAGCAGGTGTTTCTGTGAAAAGTGGCAGCAAACTGGGCAGAATTCCAATCTGATTACAGTCTGCAGGCTGATGTAGGCAAAAGCTAGGAAATAAACATAAACCACAATATCATACTGAAAGATTTTCTATATAATCAATGATAAAAGAAAAGCCTTCTCAGCGTCTCAACAAATACAATGCACAGAGAAGATCTGCCTTAGCACCATCCAAAAAGAATATTTAAGCTTTTAATCGTGCACACTGTCCCACACAGGAAGCATTTGCATGACAAACAGGTAGTGTGTGAAAGACTGAATGTGAGAGAAAGTGTGTGTACAGGAGACTGAGAAAGAAAAAAGTCCAGAGCCAAACCAGCCAATGGCGTACACAGTAACATAACTTGTACACAGAGAAGATGTAGAGATAACTGCAGCAACAAGGTGAGTCATTGCTGTATTCAACTTTTAAAAGCAGAGCAAATTCCACTGGCCTTCAGACATGTTTTTGCAAATCCACCCCAAGGATATTTTTCTCTGATGAGCACTCAATAGCTATATGCACCACATGTATTAATGGTTAGCATGCAACGCAAGAAGGAAAGAATACACAGACAGCCATGTAACAACTGTATCATTATTATTTTAAATGGCAGACCTACAGTACAGATAAAACCTTCAACTCCTCCTTTTCTATAGAGGAGGCGTGAACCTCAACAGTGTCTCTGCACTGGCAGCTTCTCCATGTGTGCATCTCTCTGGCTCTCTGCCTCAAAGTTCAGACAAGCATTGTAACATGGCCTCTTTTTCTTGTGTCGTATAGAGTCTAACAAAAACAAATGAATGCAAATCTATGCATGCCTCTGATCAGTGCCTGCTGCTCTTTGGAGGCATGAGAGGTGCTAGCAAGTAACTACCTCTCCTTGCCAAATCAACAGCCAGACTTTCTATCTGTTTACTCATTGGTGATTAAAATCGTGATACCTTATTTAGGAGAATTGTTTAACCTGTATGAAGCATTGCAAACTACTGTGCAGATACATGCAACAAAAGATATTTAGAATAAACTTTTTTGATACAAGTACACATTTTCAAAGCCAATAAATGTTATATCAATTACTACTGGAGCCTTACTTAAATAAAATTCATCCATTTAAAAAACCACATGCATTTACCAACATCACTGTTCTCAGTGTACATTGTCAAACATGAGCAGGGACGGAAAACAGACTCAGAACTCATTACAAACACTGTTCTTACAAAATACAGCCACATTTGACCTGAATTAGGACATAAAACTCAATCTAGTTTGCCAATTATCTCATTCTAATGTCTCACTAAAGGACAACTGTGCTCATATGGATATAGAAGACTTACCCGGCTGACAACTGAAAAACGGCACCAAAAAAGGAAGCATACAAAATGGCGCACTCCGGATACGGGAACCTACAGTGTGCACCTACTGACGCTGAATGTTTTTTGTTGAAACTAAGCCACAATGCAGTGCACAGATCCTCTTTAAATTGATCCTCATATTCCTAGAAGATAAGAACTCCAGCAGATCTGAGAACAAACAATCAGCATTACCAAAAGTAGAAGAAGAGGTGTTCATAGCCAATCTAAATGAATATTTAAGTTAAGCCTGACCATTTGAACCCACAAAATGACATGACAGCAGTTTCAAGCGTTCAGTGTTAGAGTTGAAATGGAGAAACCACAAAACATAAAAGGAAGTGACATCAGAAAGGCGTCCCTCTATCAACTGGTGTTTTAACAGACAGGAAGAGAAAATACAGACACACACACACACACACACACACACACACACACACACACACACACACACACACACGCATGCTGCTCATATACACACAGCCGCTGCACACATGCATGAAAACACATGCGGCTTTTCCTCAAAATCTCTCAATTTGTTCATTAAACCTACAACAAACAACACAGATCTGCCAACACTCCTCACATTTAGGAACTAAAAATAGTGTTAGAGCAACAGAGAGTGATAACTGTGATAATCAACAAAGTGATCCACCTCACAAGTGCAACAAACATCCCTCCCTCCCTCCTCTCAACAAACATCCCTCCCTCAGCCCTGTGCTAGACGCGACTGCTGAATAATGGGAAACTATCATCCCGGAGATTATAGTATTAAAACCCCTCTCCCGCATCCCAAATCCGTCCATATTAAAGATCTGCCCGTGTAAGCTGCAAGGTAAGCAGGCCCCATCCAGCGTCTGTTAGTAGCCAAGGCACTGACCCATTTCCCAAGCAGGTTAGAGATTAACCGTGTTGCATATTACAAGCTGGGCTGGGATGGATGGTCCAAGTACTCCTCCTCAAACCCTGTCAGCTGACTAGCTCAAGGATCATCACTGGGAAAGTATCAAAGGGCTTCAGCTCAGTTAGTCATGCACACAGATATGTCAGGAGACTTAGCGCCAAAGAGCTTTAGAAAACTTAAAATGAGAGATGTAGGGCAGCCGAGAGAGAAGAAATGTGAGGGAAAGACAGAAATAGGGGAAAAAAGCAGGAAGACTGAAAAAGGAATATATGACTCTGGGAGGCAGAGACAGAGGTTCAGAGGGTACCGCGGAGAGACTAAGAGTGTAGTGGGAACAAATCCCTGCAAAGAATTACTGTGCATCATTCGGTATGCTTGCTTGAGAGAGCAGCAATCACTCTAACTGTCTGCTAGGCTTCAGCTGAAGAGGAAAGAAAACAACATGTCATACTTGCATTCAATCCTCTGCAGAAACTAAGGGATACTTCGTTTTCCAAATCAAAGAACAGGCCGTGTCAGCCCTGTTTTTAAGAAAAGCATGTTAAGCCATGACTAAGTTCTCATCTTACCTATTGTAAGACGAAGAAAGATTCTTCCTAAACAAAAACAAAAAATTCAGCTCTTTTGCAGAAATGCAGACAGCTGTTGTAGCAGAATTTCTATGATTGAAATTTGAATCTTCAGGACTAGACACCACTGAGTCAGACACTCTCCGCACTAATGACAGTAAAGAGGATGTGAAGATACGTTTAAAGCCCTTTGGTGGTGTAAGCACAAACACTAAAGCTGTGTTACTGCAGCATTACAGGAAAACACTCCGCTGCCCTTCTGGCCACTCTATGAATTTCTTCTCAACTAGCATTACATCACCAGTATTAAGTGAAGTAACATTATATATACAGCATTCATTTTGCAGTCTGCTTATCTTCTTAACTGCACTTAACATGTTAGACAGTGACAAGTAACAGTGTATGTAAAAATTTGTCATTTGCTAAACTTGCTATTACTTATTTTCCTTTCTGACAGGTGGACTAAGAACGCTTTATTTTAGGTCTCTGTAATTCAATCAAAGATATATACCCTTGATAATGCAACAAATACCTGCCAGATAAAAATTAGTTATTGTTTTATAGAAGAGAAACTCACCACAGTGAGGTACACTGTTGCCGAAGCGCTGGAGTTGGTTCGGGTGTGATTAAAGCCATAGTTCCCACTGAAGTTTCGTCTGATCTCTGCAGAACTGTGCCTGGAACAAAACATGGAAACACATACAGGTTTACACACCAGTTACTACATATATTAGTATTATATGGTATAGCACATTTGTGGGACGTTTGAAGGTTAATGTTTGTATAGAAGCAGGCACTGAAAACATCATGTAAAACCCATTTCTGTCGCACAATTCCACCAACATGCATACAGTGCATCTTAATGAGAGAGGCAACAGTAATTCCGCCATTGTTCCTACTCGCATTAGTTTGAATTGGTCAGCCATGGTGATTCCATTCAAACCATTGTTCGCTTTCTACAGAAGCACATCTCTGCTGGCTGTGTAAAGGCTTTGTCATGCTGGCAGCCATACAGGCAGTGGAATAAATATGGTGTCCTGATTTAAGGGTCAGACTGAGCAGGAAATCAACATGACATAGGAATGGAGTAGTATTCAAATATATTGGGTAGATACGGAAGGTGTGTCTGTCTGTCTGTGTCTGTGTCTGTGTCTGTGTGTGTCTGTGTGTGTGTCTGTGTGTGTGTGTCTGTGTGTGTGTGTTTGTCCCTCTCCAAAAAGAAGGGAAAATCACAAGAACAAAGCGATTGTCCCAATTTGTTGCCCACATTTCATCTCAATGAGACACTGAGCTCATGCATGTCGATTTCTTTATAATTAATCTACCACATCATTTGAGCCCTACCAAACTCTACACAATAGCTGCTTTCTTCTCTGTGGTCCAACGATGAAAGGCCAGTTTTGTGTGTATAAGCTTGTGTATGTGTGTTTACTATGTGTGTATGCTTTATTTGGTGTTAAAGCGCTCATATTTGTATGTATTTTTGCGTGTGCAAGTGTCAGAAACAGTTTATTGCAACATTGCCACACAGGAGAGAGTTAGAGGGCAAAGGCCTAAGTAAATGGGTCACATTCCCGACTGGTGACCCTGTGGTCAATCTCATGGGTTCATTTAGTCCCTATGGCCATTGTCACAAGAGCCCTGTTACTAATTACCACCACAAACACATAAACACTAGTGCAATGGTGGAATGCCCGCATGTGAAAACAACTGAGGGTGCAGTCATGAAGCACGTAAAACCCGTGAGGCAGCTTCATGCAAACAGCTGAAAACTAATATCATTAACATTCTGCAGCAACAACCAGTTTGCGTTTCAAGAATAAAAGCTAGATAGTTTACAGTTCATTTTAAAACAATACTCTGTATTTGAGTCAAAGATCCGTGCGCATGCCGTGTATAACACTTTCCTCTGTCAATCACATAACATGCTAAGTCAATACAATAACTGAATGCCAGGGAGGTTAAAAGCATGTGTGGGAGAACAGTATACACATTTACACAAAGAGCAAAGTCCAGCAGTGCAGCACTGTTTTATCTAAACACACATCTGCTCCGCTGTCATTTAAAAACAAAGACAAGGGACAGGAAAGACAAAGCACCTAAACATAAAAATCAACAACAGTGCAAAAGTGCACATGAACAGTGCACAATGCCCTGAAAAAATTATCAGCTGAAGCATGTTGCAACACACATATGTATGCTGATTACAACAATGAGCAGCCATAGACACACAACACACACACACACACATACACACACGCTTAGCAACTTTATCAACTGTTATGCAATTCTAACTTATGTAAAAGTCACTCTTAACCAAAACAGGTATTTATCCCTTACCCTTTAACTCAAACACCCACACCTGCGGCTGCTTAGTATAACAACAGTCCTCCACTGCTGGCCACTAAGCAGGTTTATTAGAGCAGTATGTTTGTGCTTTGCACGGCAAAACATGGAGGTTGATGGGGGATCTCACATATACACCCCACTTTGCACCCGCACATCAGCAACTTTAAGTCCTTCACGCGTACACACTTTTTATTTGTTTAAAAATGCCGAGTTGCTCCTTGTAATGCCATGTGTTGAATCACATAAGCCAGTGGAGCTTAAAGGCGCTGCAGGTAAAACTAGGAAACTAAAGCTCCAGAAAGCTTCAGGTCAACACAAGGAATGACCCTCCTCACAGCTCCACCTCACCAGGTGTCTAGCGAGGAGGCCAGAGTTATTACATCCGCCTCAGACATCTCCTCTTTGTTCAGATTGGTTTTAGCTTGTGCCACTTTATAAAGAAAATGGCAGAGGAAAGGAGGTACTGCTGAAATGAAATGGCCACTGCACAAGACACAAGCCTATGGTACAGAACCTATGCAGTTAGAGTAGTCTTTGTATGAGTTTAAATGTTCTGCTCTGACAAAGAAAGAAAAACAATCTGAGTATGCCTTTTCTTGCCCAAAGGCAGATTGTCTGTTGAGTGTATTGAGCTTGTACCCAAGGCAATTTAAACCCTGTATAAACTTCTCATAACTTGACCTCTAAAGAAACACGCCCTACCCTGTGTACAGACTGAGCCCATAACCTCTCCACCACTAATGTGCCCTCCCCCTACATCTTTCATTGCCTTTGGAGAGACAAAGCTTATACATACCACCCCGTACTATTACAAGACATGCACTAGTGTATCTAAAGTAATATTTGCATACACACACATTGTCACATGCATACACGCATGGGATTGCTTACTTGCATACACTGACACACATTCAAGGCCTGTCTATAAAAAGACCAGGCAAGTAAAACAGTAATCAGCTCTTACCAGCAGAGCCAAGCACACATTATTTGACCACTAGTAGACAAACAGCTTGTCACAGCAGACAGCATCTGTCATTCTCTTTATCTGGCCCGTGTCTTGGCATCCTTTGTTACATAAAAAACAAAACTGCTCTTGTCAGGAAGACAAAAAGCAGGGGGAAGGACTTTGGTAATTTTGGTGAAATGACAGCAAAAGCAGCTTGTGTCATAAACCCAGCAAAAAGCAATGTATTGCCAGTGGCTTTTTAACAAAACCACTAAGATAGAGTAAGTTACAAATTCTTACAATGGATCAACCCAGAGACAACACTTTAAAAGGGGACAAATATTTAACTGTCAACAATACCTGCAGTGCTGTTAGCTGAGGGGACACTTAAGCGCATTGGTGAATACGGGTCCAGAGGACTGAATCGGAGGAGTTTAGTGCAACGTAGCAACACCATCTTGTCCTAATATAAATCCGACCCGGTCTGTAAAAACAGTTGTTACTAAAGTTGACATTTTTGGTCTTGAAAGCAGCTTCTGAAGTTTTTGCGCAGGGTTAAGGTCTCTGACAATGACCACAGTGGCATTTCCCGAAAGGCATATTCTCCACCACCACTCTTTCAGTCTGATGATGTTATCCTAAAATAAAATGTGAGCCAGCCAAGCATCAGCAAACCAGTATTAGCTGAAACTCTATTGAGCAATGCATAAGAGACTCCCTAACATGTTAAGCGTACAATTCAAATAAAGGCTACATACCTTAGCAAAGTACAGCACAGCGATCAGAATCCTTAACTGCCCTTTACTGGCAATGCAGCCACTGTTGTCACATCATCATCATCTCTTTCAGAGTATTCAGATTACCACAGTGCACGTGAACATGTTATCTGATTTCCAGTGTAACCCAATATCTCAGAGTAACCTGATTTCTTGTGTGCATGTAAACATACTGACTGTCAGTACAGAACATGATGCAAGACCTTAAGATCAAGATAAACCACAGAAAAGCAACTGCAAAATGTTAGTAAATGCTGCCTCTTTGGATGGAACATTTGAATTGCCTCAAGAAAGTGTTCTCTTAGCTAAACACACAGCCTGATGACAATAACTACCAGTTTTCTTTGTCTTTTTTTCATGAGATATAATTAGAAGAGATAATAAACAATGATGGGGAAGGCACTCTTAAAAACAGCTGCTACCGGGGAATGGTAGAATTACAACCGACAGCAAACTCCAGCTATGAATTAGGGCTGATGACAGAGTAGGCACACTGTTAAAAAACATCAAGACTCAGCACATTTTTGGCACTATTATCCTGTTTGTAAATGGTAATTTGTAAACGGACTGCACTTATATAGCGCCTTTCTAGTCTTCCAACCACTCAAAGCGCTTTACACTACTATGTCACATTCACCCCTTCGTACACACATTCATACACTGATGCCTTGCCCCCACGGAAGGCACCAACGGTTTATCAGAAAGGAAACACAAAATAATCCCATTCACACACTCTCACCCTGGGAGAACTTTGTTGTTGTCCAAGGACACTTCGACACGCAGTCTGGAGGAGCAGGGGGTCGAACCACCGACCATCTGAGTAGTGGACAACCAGCTCTACGTCCTGAGCCACAGCCGCCCCAACTTTGTTAGTAAAAGAGCTAAAAATATATAAAAAATCATAACACTGACCTCATGTACACTGTTAATTAGACCATTCTGTTTAAAGAAAGAAAATAATATTGTCTCTCATTCATAGACAATGAGGAAGGCCAGAGGGCCAGAAATGTTTCATCATTAATCAGAATGAAATAACATTTGATAAAACTGCTTTGTGCGTGACCCCATTATTTCAAGTATTTATGAGCTGTCAAACATACATCTAATCTGTCAGTAATGCTGTTAGACCTCAAGCTAAGTATCATCAGCTGCCAAACAGCTATTTAACCTTCCTGTGACTTGAGTATTTCTTCAGATATGTACTTGCCCAAAAGCTGGATGGTTTCTGAAAGGTCTCAGGGCTCGGATTCAAGGTAAAGGAAAATAAATCTTTCATCATGCCCTCCCCTTTACAAAGAGATTTCCCCCTTTTTGTTACGTCATGCTGTTTGTGGCACGCCTGCACTTGCTGCGTGTGCAAATCACTGGCCAAGCATTCTTCAAATTGCTCTAAAACTGTAGTTTCACTTCTTCTCACAGCTACATTTCTGATTAACAAGCCCACCCCAGATAATGAAAATCTATAATTCCTACTCATAATTATCTGTATTTACTCCTCATCCAGCAGGCAAGCTGCTTAGTCAGTCTCCAATTATCCCTATCATTATCATTATTATCAAGTCAATCCACTAGAGGTGGTGGGAGGCTTCTTTAGCTTGCATGTAACAGCCAAGAAAAGCCCTTCTACCTCATCTGAGCCAAAAAGAAACACAGGATAACTGAGAGTGGTGTGGTATACATGACAAGAGAGGGGGAAGCAGACCAAAGGGATGCCCCCACTGTGTGTCTCATACTATCATATGTCTCCAGACTTAATGGGTCTTACTGCTATCAGCACCATCACGGCTCAGCTTCCTGTCAGAGGGAGGCGCGCACAAACACAGCGGTCATTTGGCAGGTCTCAGGTCACAGGCGGCTCCAAGCAAGAAAAAGTGAGTGTGGAAACTTTAAAACACAACTTCTGGTTGAGATTTAATGCTTTAACCACATGGCAAGTCATTTATCACATGTTTTTCAGTATATATTTTTTACCACACCCCATCACTCAATGGCCCACCAACAGTCAGTTAACAGATGTCATTAACCAGAGCCCAGAGGAAATCAGATGCAACTCAATCCAGATCCCCCTGCCACTTAGGAGTTATTGAACAACAGAGGCCCCAGCTGCCCTCACACCTGTTACCATATGCCAGTAAGTAACATCGTGTTGAACAGTAGAACATGTGTGTGTTCAGCTACCTTTGACCTGCTCACCAAAACTGAACACTGTGCCACACTTATTATGTTAGCATGTTGCCTTTTTCACTGACATATGGTCCCCCTTCTATTCCATTCCCCTTTTTTCATGTGCTTCTGAAGAAACACACATTTCCTGATTTAAAAACTGCCACAAACAAAAAAAGTGAAGTGAAACAGGAGTGAGACGGTGTCCACAGTGTGCAGGATATCCTTCACACTCCATCCTGATAGAGAGATAGAGAGAGGAACTGCTCATGAGCACATATAGAATATTTAGGGGCGGATTAAAGAGCATTCCTTTTGTAAACCTGATGTGACTGTCTCACAATTGCAAACACCCCTACATATATGGGATGTTTTAGTTTGCATGGCAATTAACAGGTTTTCCGGCCTGCTACTCACCGCAGTTTCAATCTGTGGCCACTGTTCCTCTTTGTCAGTGTGGTTTGTTTGTGTCCGGCTTTTGTTGCCATGACTATCTAGGTTGTTTCCCTTCATATACTACATTATTTTGCAGTTTATTTGACCAACGCACATAAAATTTAGGTCACAAGTTGTATCATTCTTTTAAATTACACATAAAGGGGTGTCCTAGTAGCCGAGGTGTTTAAGACGTTGACCATGTAATCACGACATCAGCTGGTCTGGTCAGGGGATCTTTGTTGCATGTCGTTCCCCTTCTCTGTCACATTTCTACCACTATTTCTGTCCACTATCGGAAGCTAGACAAGAATCACACATATCAAAGTCTGATCTTTTTGTATTGTGTCCACAGTCTGGCATGGGCTGAAATTCTGTTATTATGTATCTATTAAATGTTGCTGAATCACTAAACAAAATGCCAACAGCCTGTCCTCACTAAAAGCAGTTTGAGAAATCACTGTCAGTGAGTGAACTGCGTCTGCTGCATCATCACTCACTGGCTGTAACATTTTGCAACCACACATTCCACAACAGCGTGCTTATCTACAGTACAGCATCTTCTAACCAGCCCCTCTGCTGGCTCATCACTGGATTCAGGCTGTGACCCAAGATCCCTCACCTGCCTCAGCAGCTGAGCTCAGCTCTGCACAGCACATCAAGTCTCCATGACTTCTGCTGGCTATTAAAAACAAGAGTATGGTGCATTCACTGTGGTGATGGACAGGATTTCACACTGACACAAAACATGAAAAAAATAAATGAATGCTTTAGACTAGAGCTGAGATGAGACATTAATCAATTAATTAATTAATAACTCTTTAATCGTGTGGACAAAACATAATTTGAAGACATCACTTTGAACTTTTGGAGTTGTTGGTCGTCATTGTATTCTGACGTTTTATGGACCAAAAATAAATCAATTATTCAAGAAAATAACTAGTAGAGCCTTCACTGATGAAGAAAATCATTAGTTGTAGCTCTACTTTAAATCTATTTTGGAAAAATCTCCAGTGCCGATTCATTAAAATCCTCATGTAAGAGAATAAAATATTAATCTTACATTTATACCTAAGTTACAAAGTTTTAGATGGTACACTTAAGAGGTACAAAGCTGCAGAAGCAAGCAAACAGATATTTGGTTAAGAGTGCTTTAATGGAATTAAAACATGACTGTGGACTACAAAAGTGAGCGTAAACAATTTGCCTCATCATTTACCATCCTAAATTTGACCAAATGTAGTTTCTGCCCTTATCCACTTCCACAATGTGAATGAACCCAACTGTTAAACTGCGGTAACATCACGTGCAAAATGTTCAACAAGGCACACAGTTTGACCCGTTAGCCCCGGAGAAGCTTTATGCCTGTGCTGCTCATGGTAGGAAGTATTAGTGTATTTGTCTTAATGAGTCGTACCGCAGAGGAGGCATGGTACACAATGGACTTACATGTACATACTTCCTCCACACCTGGCCAGTGTCACAGCAGGAACTATGACCACATCTCTGCTCATTCAGCTCTAAGGGACAGTCAGAACTTACACAACACAGGAAATGATCATATTAGAAACACTAGATATAGAATCAGCATCCTTTGTGAGGAGGAAATGACTTCTGATAGAAAATGGATTTGTGAACTTGGTGTAGAAGGTTCACCACTGTTTCACTTCAGAGAATTATGTAAATAATGAGCCTAGAAATGGATGTATTCATGATTGATCACATGGCTGTCACTAATACCAGAAGTTAAATATGTCCTGAAATAATTCTTCTCCTGGCTCCTCCAGGCTGCTCTTTTCCGGGACAAAGTGAACTAACCTGCAGTATTAACATCCACAACATGTGGCTGCCTGCTCCACTGTGGAATCCCTTCCAAATGTCAAGACAGTGCTCCCTCCCAGATCTCTGGGGAGGTACCAACTCACTCCTTAACTAACCCTCGAACCAAAACAACCGGAGCTTCCTATAGGACATTTTTACCTGTTGATTTTCAGAGCGAAAGCCCGTCGGTCTGCGCTGCCCACAGAAGACATCCCCGGGTCTGAGGTCCAGTTCAGCGGCGCTGGCTTTGGTGTCTTCCTGCGGTCTCGCCGCCTCGCTGTCACCGACGCACCGCTTGGTCTCCTTGCTACTGCTCAACTGTCATGTCAACAACACTCATCTTGGTTGTGGCGCGGCACAGCAGCTTTCCTGGGTGTCAACTTCCGCATTTGATTTGAGCCATCCCGCAAAGAGAGAGAGAGAGAGAGAGAGAGAGGCAGACACTAGAGGCGCGAGGGGGTGGGAGGGGATGACGGGACAGGCTGGATGTGAGACACGCGCGCTCCCTCGCTGCCGAGATTAGCTTTTGGGTTTAGTTCACACAAGCAGTCTCAGCTTTCTTCCACCTCTCTCTGTCTCTGTTCAAAACATGCACGTTGTTTTGTGTGTGTGTGATATGAAAGCGAGAGTGAGAGAGAAACTAAATCCAGTTTTTGATGAGTAGCCTACCGGTAAACATGAAATACTCACAATAGTAGGGGAGAACGATCAGTCCATGTAATCATATTTTATTTTTTGTTTGTTTTATTTATTTTTTTCTCTCTCTTTTGTTTTTAAAATGTTATTTTATTGTTTATTATTTACATATTTGTTTATATGAGAATTTTTGTGTAAGTGAATTTTTGCTTTGGCAACATTGTTTACCCAAGCATTCAAGCCCAGAAATCTAATTAAAATGAAATGAAACTATTTTGAGTTATTGAAAAATATACTGCATTATGCCTTCATTCTTTCATTAATTTCTAAAGTTTAACTATCAAAAAAGATGTTTCCTGCTCAGTGTATCTGCACTGGAAGTTTCCACACTTGCCACATGTAAAGACCATGATGAGTTTCCAAACTAGTTGTGAGCTAGAGCCTGAATAATTTCACCTTACTCAGTGAATTAAGAGCTAACAGTTTAGTACAACCAAACCAGAGTTGGTGATTGTTGCTAGAGTGGAAAACTAACCACAACCGTTTTGAGTTTTATTTTGTTCCTGTTGAGTTTGAAGGAAGTTTGTTTTACAATGAGTCAACAATGGCACTTCATTTGGTGACAGAGAGAAACTCAACAGAATTCAACAGGTGTACAGCTGACACTATATTTTATAAATGACAACAAATAATAATAAAATAATAACACTTTGAGAGCTTGTGGAGGGTAATGTGGTGAACTTATTGCTGAAACTAGAAGACCTGGGGCCTGTACCACGAAGCGAGATCAACATACCCAGGATACCCAAGTTACCAACTCCGTAAATCAACCCAGGGTTTCCCAATCCAGCCGGGAGCGCGTTCACATAAAAGAGGCGGTGTTAGCAGCAGATAACCAATCGCGGACATGAACAAGTCCACTGTCAGCAGAGCGTCATATTTTATGAACAACGATTAAACTGTAACACTACAGAAATACGACAGTAGCACGCCTGCATCTGACAAATGCAGGGAGACAGAAAATCGCAGACAGTGTTAAGTGCCTAAATAAACAGGTATAGGCACAATATTGCGTTGATTTAAAGTGTTCTTATGAGCTGTATGAAAATATCAGCCTTATTCTTTCAGCTCGGCTGTGTCGGCGTTTCCACATTAAAAGACTCGGGCACTGAATAAGTGGTCTTCCACCTCACTTTAAAAAACGTGTCGTCACTTCAAAAATTATTAATTTATTTAACACACTCAAAAGTGTCCAAACATTGTTCTAAATTAACTTCATAAAGCAATGAAACGAAAACTCCATTCATGCCATAAAATGTGCTCAAATAGGCTAGTGGTTGAAAGACAATCTCAACATTTAGGCTACTGAAAACTCACTGTCCCACCTTTGGCGCCCACATGTTACCATGGCGATCTGCCCCGGTAAGAAGTGAACCACCTTCGTGGTACTGAAAACGCAGGCTTAACCCCGAAGTTACCTGGACAAGCTCAAATCCTGCTTCGTGGTACAGGCCTCTGAGCAGGACAGGACAGGGCTAGCTTGTTAGCATGCTAACTTAAGTAGATATCTCTCTGCAAGGGTAGTAACGAGTTACATTTACTCCGTTACAAATACTCAAGTAACGTTTTTGAGTAAATGGTACTTGTCAGAGTAATTTAAATGCATCATACTTTTACTCTTACTTAGATTTTTAGAGAAAAATCAGTACTCCGCTACATTTGGAGACATTCATCGGGCTACTTCCATACTTATTTATTTATTTAGGGTTTGGGTGTAGTCACAGAATCTGATAGGTCACAGATTTTGGTGTAACAGCTGTTTCGGTTGTGAAGTCAGCAGGCTAAGCCATGCTGACACTGAGCTGACAGAGAGCAGTGTCTGTTGTGTTAATGTGACTTTGTTTAATAGCTACCCACAGTAAATCGTGCTTAAAAACGCATCCCGCTTTCTGCCTTAATGGAAATATTCAAGCTAACAATGTTGAGCAGTCTTCATTTAACTAGTCATGCTCATTGGTGTAAGAAGCCTGATGAAGACAGACCAAATTATGCACACACAAAAAAAGACAAACTGCTGTTATTTCATGTGGATGTGACTGATGTAATGTTTAAACCACAGATGATCTTCCTCAGGTAAACATGAAGAAGAGAACACTGTTGTGGTGGCAGCCTGGCTGATGGTGAGTGTTCTGTTTATTTCTCCTTTTTTTTCCTCTCATGATTCTGTTTTCCCCTCCTGTTTTGGCCTGCCTGTTTGTGTCTCCTCCCCTCTCCCTGTGTGTGCTCTCCCTCTCCCTCTGCTCCTGAGCCCAGCTAGGTGCAGACAGTCCGCACCTGCACCTCATCAGCCTCCTCTTCTGCCTGCCACACCTGCCAGCATTCAGCCTCATCTCTCCAGTACTTCAACCCCGGTTCTCCACACAATCACTGCTTGATCGTCGTTGCTCCTAACCTGGTGCCACTTTATCACTCAAGCTCTTGTGTAATCTATGTCATCTCTGTTTCCCTGTTCTTGGTTTTCCCTGTGTTTTAAACAATCTTTACTTATTGGAGTACTAACAGACTATAATAGCAATGCAATATTTTGCAATCACACTTGATGGAGACACACTGGGAATATTGTCCTGGTGTACATGTGTACAGGTTATCTAAAATCAGGAGATGATGACTTGTCATTTCAGAACACAAGTTGTTTCCCTTTACCTGAGGAAGACCATCTTAAATCTAATCACATCCACATCAAATAAAAGACTTGGTGAAAAAGACCCATTGTTTTTATTGAGTTACTCTCAGTTACTCACTAAAGTATTTTTTTAGTAAGTGCTTTTGTACTCTTACTCAAGTAGTTATCTTCATAACTAATTTTACTTCTACTTGAGTACTTTTTTTTTGCAAAGCAACAGTACTTTCACGTGAGTACGGTTTTTGGCTACTTTACCTGCCTCTGCACATAGATGTCTTTGACATCAGAGCTGTTGCTTCTTTAAATTCTGTCAGTAATGTTAGTTCACATTTTGAATTTTTAAAAATAAAATTCTGAAAACTGTGGTGTAGGATCAATTTCTTACTACTTTCCCTCCACCACAGGTTTGTTTGGGGAGTTTTAACAATGGTGTAATAAACATGTGAAAAAGTGTTCACTTATTCATGTTTTTTCTGTGATCTTGTAGAAAGTGAGCCTCTCTCAACCAGTTATTATTGAGGAATTGCACAATAGAACAATTATCTTTTGCATCATCACTAAAAGCTGTAATGCAACAGGATCAAGATTACCAAGCTGCAGACACAGTCTGTGTCCAAAATCACTTACTACTCACTATATTTATAGAGAGAATTATTACACCCTACGTATCTAGGCGACTCAAAGTATCCCAGAATGCATTTTGAAAGGTAGTGTACAACTAGTGGTCATTAAATAAGCTGTTTATACCACCATGCTTTGCACTAATAGAAAAATATTTTTATATAGTCACTCTATCGTTTCTTATTTAAGAAAATATATATCACTTAGCATAATTATTTGCACATAAAGAGGGCTTATTTACAAATATGAGCTATCTACAAAACAATTGAGAAAATGTTACAGCTGACCCTGAGCCTCCTATTTAGTATCAAGTGTTAGTTTTACACCGACCTAATGTCTCTTCATTCTTAATATGACAGCATCTCTTAACATTAGCCTATGTATAATGTTTCCCAAAGCACTTGTAGGTTTTTAATTTTCCTCTACATTCACCCTTGGATAATGTTTTTGTGTGTTAAATATCACTATAACAAAAAATCAATCTAACGTCCAAAGCAATAGACCTACAATATTTCAATATCATTATTATGTGTTTTTCTTGCATTATTAATGTCACTGAGTGGTGTTAATTGTTTGTGCTATGCAATAAACTAAGCTCCTTTAAAAAGTATAAGATGGCAGGTTTGTCGTTTTCAAAATAGTTTAGGTTATATGTGTAATTGTATTGTTAAACAATAATATTGCTAATTACTAAGGCTGAGAATATTAAAAACGTTGCATGGTGTTATATATTTTCATATTGGGGTAAGTTATTTTTTGATAGCCTATATTCCCCTTAACATCTTGCCCTACATGAACTGTAGGTTGATGCTGGCTACCTTAAACTGGTTTCTGTCGCCCTCTTGTGGTTGATGCCTGTCATCATACAAAGATTAGTCTGCTTTGCGCAACTGCAGCTGGGGCGCAGAAAAACAAAATGTTTGTGGATTTATTGTCAAGCAAAGGTTGTTATTTTGTCCAATATATTCGCCTCCTTGGTTCAAACGTTATTTATAATCTTCTCCTCTCCCCGCAGACTGTGCAGACTGCTGTGAACGGAATGCGGAACCAATGTCGCCGCGTCAGGACTTGAATGGACGGAGTCTTTACGGTGTAGCACGCTGTCAAAACGTGAAACAACAGCAGAGTGGAAAACGTTATTAGGTGAAAACCTAAAATATCTGCGTCTGAGGAGCAATAAGGTAATTTGTACACAGCCTTCGTAAATCGGAAAGGAAAGTCTGTTTGTTTTGCTGTCGTCGCGTACTGTGCATGCATTAGAGGGGATAAAAGTTAAGCTAACATTATATGGTGGCTGTGATCATTCTTAATAACGTTACACACTTTCACTGACTAACTTACTAACATACTGGCGAGTTGATGCTATTCTTGATGCTATTCATTTTCTGTGTTTAGACTTGTAAGGGTTTTATCTAGTATAAAGCAACCAAAAATCCGTATTTGCGGAATAATTACGAACATTTCCAGGACTGACAAATCATTCATAAATTAAATCTGTCTATTAGTTTCATGTTTCGTTCGTGGATGTTTGTTTTTTTCAGTGTGTCATCAACGTGATTTATTTTGTTTAATCCAACTTCGTAATATAATCTATTCATGGGTTTCTGTACTGATTCATTAGATCAGATCCATCTTGTGTCCCTGTCCAACATTATTTCTGGCATGGATGACATGGTGATGGAGGAGGAAGATGATTGCCCAGAGTTGGTGCCCATTAACACCCTGCCTGGTCCTCCTGCAGAGCAGATACCTGTCACCATCATCACAGGCTACCTTGGTGAGAGACTATCTGTATTACTCACAGCTTTAACAAGCTTACAAAGGAGATTATAGTCTCAGACATTTGTTAGTCCATCCTCACCACAAACGAAAGCTCCTCTAGCCCTAGACCAGGGTATTGTTCCCTCTCATATTTATTACAGGTTAATTTACATCATGAGTATTGAAAATGCACTTCATGATCGATTTTACTTTACACTTCCTTATCATTTTTATGTGTTTGTGTCTTTATAGGTGCTGGAAAGACTACACTCCTGAATTATATATTAACAGAGCAACACAACAAGCGAATTGCAGTCATACTCAATGAATTTGGAGAGGGTAAACTAATAATGTCCTTCAGAGAAATCAAAATTGTTTGGTTCAAACTATATGTGCTAGAGTATAAACATAATCCCAGGCTGATGATGTTATTTTGTCAACTTTCCACAAGAAAGCAGCATAGTAACAACTTTTGCCCAGAACTGAAAGATGCTTATAAATGTTTTTTTTTAAATGTCTCCAGAGCTACAGACTCTGGTACAGCAACATACAGCATATTTGCATTGAACTTAAATTGACATTTTTTTTCTTACAGTATCATTAGATTTAATTTATGTTGAATTTGTTGAAGTGATCTAAAACCTCTTATGTTTGGCTTTTGGAAATCTGTGTTTGTCTTACAGAATATATGGCATCTTTGGTAGAAATTGCTGAGTCTTCATCTGTTCTTAATCTTAACCTGACTGCTCTTCCTTTCTATTCCTCCACCTGTAGGCAGCGCCCTTGAGAAGTCCCTCGCAGTGAGCCATGCGGGAGAGCTGTATGAGGAATGGCTGGAACTGAGGAATGGCTGCCTCTGCTGCTCTGTCAAGTGTGTAGAGTAACTATAGCCCATTTGGTGGTACATAAGTTATGAAAACAGAAATAAAATATTTTTACTTATGAACTATTGTGGTAACAAGTACACATTAATAATGTTTTATAGCGGTGTAATGTATTCCTGGTGAAACACATGCTTGTTCCATATTACAGTGTATTACAGTAATTCTGGTGAAATGAAATTCAAGAGTTATACATTTGCCATTTTTAACCTTTTTTAACCATTTTTAATCGTTAGTGGCTATTCCACAATTTTTCAGGGACAATGGTCTTAAAGCCATCGAGAACCTGATGGAGAAGAAAGGAAAGTTTGACTACATCCTGTTAGAGACCACAGGACTCGCTGATCCAGGTAATATACGTAAATCTGTATTTGATTGTTAAGTAGACCGTTGTAGTTTTTTCAAGCTGTGGCCTGGAAAGCATATAGAAAGTTATTTGAAGCCTCATGCAGTCCCTAGCTGTTTCACTAGGGTGTGTGTGTGTGTGTGTGTGTGTGTGTAGGGGGGCTGGAAGCAGATAGAGGACCTGGTTCTTCCAGCCCACACACACAGCACCTTACACAGACATTTGTCAGCTAGCAAACAGCAATGTCTATATTATGCAAGAAATAACCAAATATAATCATTTTCAGAATGAGTGTCTTTGATAACTGGTTGTCTTACAGTTTTATTATCTCAGCGGCATTAAATAAATAACATTAAATAGCATAAAAATGGCTTGCAGTTGTTTTAGAATAATTTGCTAATTATGTAACTTCTTTGAAGTACTTTTATAATACTACTGCAGAGTAATAAAACAGAGTCATATCAGATTCAGCAGCTGAAAAGGGAGTTTTTCCTTGCCGCTGTTGCCTGGTGCTTGCTCTCTGTGGGAATTATTGGGTCTCTGAAAGTAATACTACAGAGAGAACGGTCTACACCTGCTCTAGATATGAAAAGAGCTATCAGATAACATCTGTTATGAATGGACGCTATATAAATAAAAAGTGAATCGATTAGATTAACGGAGTGCACTTCTCATGACGGGCCATATTCTTAAAAATAGAGAATGACACAGACTGACCAACTTCTGCAAATTGCTGGTATTGACAGCGTAGTGGACACAAAGTAACTACTGACAGTGGTCTTTAAATCCTTGCATCCCATTACGAACCCATACCTAACAGACCTCTTTGAAAATCAGCAATAAAGGCTTTCGAGATCCATACTGGATCTCCTTGAAAACCCTGTAGCCAAAAATGCTGCATTCAAGAGCACCCTTCAGTGTTATGGTGACACAATCTGGGCTGACAGGTTTAAAAGGGAACAAACTAATCTACAGGCATTTCACAGGAAGTGAATTAGTATTCATTATTTGTATATATACACATACAACCAGCAGCTTTAATCCATGGTAACCTGTTGAACATCCACTATTAATATTATCATTCTGGACTCTGCTATAAATAAGTATATTAATTATAACTTAAGACCATCTTTGCTTATAGTCTGTTCTGTATTTTTATGTTACTTAGAACAGCTTAGCATTCCTGGCACAATATTTAGGGATCATGCATTTCCATTAAGCTCCTTTTCTCTTTGTGTATCTAAATAATGGTTAAACCCCTGCAGATATCTTTGGAAAACCCACATCAAAAGTTAAACATTTTGTAACTCTGGGGACCAGACTTGTGTTGCTGTGACAGGAGTTTTCAAGGCAGCCCCAAAAAAACCCCGTAACTGTCTGTTCAGCTCTCAGGAAATCAATATTAGACCATTACAGGGCAAGCCCTGTGACAGTTGGGGTGTGTCGCTAAGTGACAGGTGTCAGGAGTTAGCGGCATGGGCAGACACACACCACTTGGCCTCAGACAGAACCAACAGAGCACGCTCAGACTGGGGCTGTTCTCACTCCTCTGCCATGTCATTGGCTGAGACAGGCTTTTTATCGACTAGGACAGGTCTGTCATTGGCCCTGGCAGTGCTGTCAGTCATAAAGGCTCCCTGGGGGATTCTCCACTTCCATTCAGGAAGAGGTTGGATGAGTTATGTGAAACATGCCACTCAAAAACAGTGTTTTCATTACGGATCCATCAAATATTTACAATGCTTTCTTATTCTCGCTTGGCAGTTTGACAAAAGTGCATTATGTGAACAAGCTGTGGCTGGCATGGTAACATAGGGTCTTATAATAACCACGTCCACAGGAAAATAGAAACAAACCAAATGTACCAGAAAGTGATAAACAATTGAAAGCTTCTGATATTGGTTTTAGCTGCTCCGTAGAGCTCAGCCAGAAAAAATAAGAATGCAGGGTTTCTGAAAAATAGTACAATACTGACTTTAAACACAAAATGTTAAGATCTGGGTGTCATTGAATAAAGTTTAATTTAATGCTGACATGATTAATTTGTTGACAGAGTCCTATGTCACTTATCAAGTTAAAATGGCCATACTTCGCTGGTTTTAGCTTTTCATGTGATATATATATATATGTGATATTTTAAAGACTAAATAATAAAATCTAAAAGAAAAAGAAAACTATTCTGCGAATGAATCAATAATGAAAATAATTATTAATTATCCATAAATAATTTAAATACTATTTTAAACTTATTAGTGATATGATATAGTTATGTATTGCAAAAAAATTGGGTCAATTGTAGATTGGCTCTTTTTACAGATTTCCAATAGCTGTAATACATTTTACATCATCTGTAATGTAAAAATCTCTGTATATTTCATTATCCAGAGTATTTCTCATGGAACATGCCAGGGGACTGCATCTTTGTGTTTTTATTCTCTTCTATTTTGAAGACATTATGGGAAAAATGATACTTTAATGAGTGTACATTTATGACAAGAGAGAATGAAAAGGAAGATTACGGCCTCAATTTACTTTCCCTGTAATTTTAAAAACTTTAAATGTGCATGTATTTCAGTCATTTATAGTCTAACACACCATTTCGTATCGCCTGGCAGGAGCTGTGGCCTCCATGTTCTGGGTCGATGCAGAGCTCGGCAGTGACATCTATTTGGATGGTAAGGTATTTGTAGTAACACAGTGTGTCTTTGTCCATGAAATTAGTGTCGGGAATTCTCTTTGGGCTTAATTTGATTGTCTAGTGTGTAAAACTTAACTTCTCAGTGGTTAAACTTGGAATAATGCATTTTGATGCTTTCATTTAAATATACTGATAAATGGAGGTGTTGTAATTAAAAACAAGCACATTTTTAAACTTTAAAAACACACTTCATTGTAAGACTGATGAACATCCTGATGAGAGTGCTATAATTAAAGATTTCTAAATTTGAGGATGTAAAAGCTCCGACTAGTCCAATTATTTGTGTGTGTGTGTGTGTGTGTGTGTGTGTGTGTGTGTGTGTGTCGAATGGTGTCCTCACACTAAATACTCAGCTGTCGGCTCTGTTGTAACAGGCAAGCAGACCAAACGTGTACTTCAGATAAATCAGAGAAAGTGGTTTAGCCAAACAGACAAAACTAAACACCAAAAGGCAACTGCAATTCAGAAAAGAATGTGCACAAGTTGTGGCACAACATTTGTCTCACTGACTACTATTGCTTTGTTTGCCCTAGGCATCGTCACTGTCATCGATGCCAAGTATGGACTGCAGGTATGTGCTAAGAAGATATTCAAGAAGCTTCTTATTCTTAGAAAATGTCATGGTTGAATTAAAACAAGAGAAAATTCAATGACAACACTGTTGAGAGTTGATTAATTATTGATGACATTTATCAAGCAAAAATGCTCAACATTTGTTGATTCTAGCTTCTCAAACGTGAAAATGTGCTACTTTTCTCAGTCTGCCTGTCTTCTGGTCTGTTTGTCATGTCATGTTTTTGGACTTTAGGATAGTGCCAGTTCATTTTGAGATCATCGGCCAATACCTGCACTCACGAGGCTGGTGTATCATTATAAATGATGAATGCAAATCTGATCTAAAACCGTTAGTCTAGTGTTAGATGTATTTTGTTAAAATGTAGAGAATAATGCAGTTGAATGACGTCATTTCTGACACACCTCACTCTACCTTAAACATCACATTCTGAAATCTACAGCATAACCCAATATATCTTTCTACTTCATTGACTAATAACAATTACATCTAAAACAACACGTTACTGGCTAAGATGACCATATATATTAGATTTGATATCTGCATTAGATATCGGCCACCCTGCTTTCTAAATATTGGCATCAGTCATCGAAATACCTATATTGGTGGACTACTACTATATATTTTTTTACATTTTATAGACACTTTGATTAATCCATTACTCAAAAAAAATTATTTAAATATTTTTCAGTAGGTTTTGAAAATAATTATTTAGTTCAGCCCTAATCATCTAAAGCATCAGAAGCATTTGCCTCTGAACAAGATAAATAGTGCTTTTGTGACTTTAAATCTGAAATAAGCTGATAAACTTGTGAGATTATTTGTAAACCCCTACTGCATAGCAACACAACACACACACACACATCCTGCCCTCCCTGTGGTATTTAAAAGGAACAGGACAAGTGACACCTAGATAATGGGCTCTAATTTGAAGGTGTCATGCTCAGCGAGGTGACACATTTCATGGCTTAGATGCTGCTCTGTCTTCTCATTGGAGAGAAGCAAGGAGAGGATAAGTGATAGTGAAGGAGTAATTGATATTAGAGATGTGACCATTGTAATTGGACTGTCACATCAATTCACCTGCCTTTCCCGATCATCTGTCCCATGAAATATCCGTCCACCTGAGCGGTTTTGAGTTAACTCTCAAAGGGCTTTGTCTCTCGATACAGAGGTCATTGAAGAAAAAGCAGCAAGCAGCCATTCTATTACTTTTTTTTTTAATACTATTTTGTCATTCATTCCTTCAGAAATGAAGCGGTAGTGATGCCCAAAGTGACAGATTAATGCCAGATTGACAGTCAGGGGTCAGGATACAGATTAACACCTCCTGCTCTGTTATTACATATTAAACTGTTTTGGAAAACGTTGCATCCCCGGTGCAAGCGCAAGACACAAACAGAAAATGAAAAGCGATCCCCTGTGGTTTCATGTGTTCAGAAAGTCACTTAGTTCACAAAGATGAAATATAGGCCCTTTCTTTTACCGATTTATCTGTCACATTTTGTGTTGGCTGCTGCAAGCATTCGCTGATATTTTTATTTTTGCCTAAAGATGGAAATCTATACGTTCAGCTTGAGCAATTTTGCTCACTTTTACATCTTTTTTTTTTTCTTTAATTTTCTGGTTGCATGTGTAAATTATATCCACTGTCTCTCCTTTCTGCAGCAACTAGCAGAGGAAAAGGAAGATGGACTTGTCAATGAAGCAGCCAGGTATGTTTTTTTTTGTTTGTTTTTTTAATAAATAGATTAACAGTTTGGGAAATATAACCACACTGCTGTTTTTTTGTATGAATTAAATAAAGAAGATATAATGTGTTAATCTGAGAGTTTTACAGATGCTAGGCAGGTTTTGTTACTGTTGAACAGAGTCATGCTGGCTGTTTTCCCCAGTTTCCAGTCTTTGTGCTAAGCTAAGTTAACCGGCTGCCGGTGGTAGCTTTAAATTTACCATACAGACATGAGAATTGTTTCATCTGCAAGACAGCCAATAAGTGTGTTTCCCAAAATGCAGAACTATTCCTTGAAGACTCAACAAACCACTCAGTATCCACTTCACTACGTCTTAAAACATGCTGTTGACCGTACTCCTGCCACCCTGCCTGTCTGTCTCCCTGCGCGTCTCTCTGTTTGTCTCTTCCAGCAGCTGTGTGGTGTTGTTGTTGAGCAAATACACTGATGAAGAAAGACCAGTTGCATGACCCCTTTGCATTCTTGGTCTTTGTTTGTGTTTTCACCTCTAAACTAAACACCTCTCGGCTCCCATTTGAGTTTGGCATGCATTGCCCGTTGCCACCCAAAACAACGTACACATACACACAGTTGGTAAAGGAGAGTTTCCCGTATTTGATTGAATTAAGCTCACGAACACACAACACTGTTATAATTATGAACAAGGTAATGACTTCCTGATGTTGCTGGGTTGGTGTTTTTAACACATGATCTTAATTTTGTGTGATTCTCGGTGCGAATTCCTGTCTCTGCTGTTAGCTTTGTGCAAATTGTGTCACTTGCCAGATAAACATAATGTTGTATTTACTGCTTTTTTAGACAGATTGCTGTCGCTGACCTGACCATAATCAACAAGACAGACCTGGTGAATGAGGAGGAACTCGCTCAAATCCGAGATGCGGTCAGGTCAGCTTCACATACTTTTACCGCTTGTCGTCCATCTCCCTTTTACTAGTAGTATCCTGCTTTTTTATCTGTGTTCTTATTATTGAGCTCCTGTAACTTTGGGACAACAGTACATTTGGTCTTCTTTACATTCATTTAAAAAGAACAAAGTTGTAGCGGGATAGTAGGAATGAGGTCTAATTTGTCCATTATCTAAGTATTAACCTTTTTTTCCTCTTGTTTTCAGGTCTATAAATGGTTTTGTCAAGATTCTAGAAACCCAGAGATCAAAGTAAGTTATTTTTTAAGAACATATATATGTAGCTTTGTACTAGGTACCATGCTTTGCTTTGTTTAGTGTAACAGATGAACACCACGTGCTGCTCCTGCTCAGATCTCTATATCAAAGATGAAGCTGTTCAGGCGTGACATTGTTCAAGAGAAACCCCCAACACACACACAAACGCACACACACATACACAAACCGCTGCACTCTGAGTAAACAGCAAACCTTCAGTGGTGTCGAATTACCCACAAGTCTTTGCTCTTTGACCCTGGGTCTTTAAGTCGACACGGCTGCAAATGTGTGAATGTGCGTGCAGGTCTGTCTGTTCATGTGCACCCTCTGTGTTAGCATTTTGTGTGTCATTGTACCCAGGTAGCATCTGCCATACCCAAGCAGCATGTATCAAAGGTTTGGGTGTGTTTTGGATCTGCTTTGCCCCCCCCCCCCAGCAGAGTTCAGACCAGGGTGAACAGATGAAAGACACCATGTAGCGAGGGGTTAATCGGAAAAACATTGCCACAACTTTTTCTATGGTGGAGTTGTATTTTAAATAAAACTGGAAAATAAAAGATAACCAGTGATCTTCTTCCACAGGGTGGATCTCTCTCAAGTGCTGGATCTGCATTCCTTTGACAGTAAGGATGGAGCAAAGTGAGTTGGTTTTATCACATTTTAAGAAATTCTTGATATTAACTGATATTTCTAATATGAACAAAGGATCCCTGAAATTTGGTTATTAAAGAATTGTGATATTTACTGATTTTACAGTTGAAAAATTATTCTGTCAGTGCTCTCTGGCAGACTTTTTTAAATGCAAAAACTGTCTAGTCCACTGTCCTCTGCGGAAAAGAAGGAGGAGAGGGGAAAAAGAAAAAAGCTTAAATAGTTTTCTTCAACTGGAAATGCAGCTCATACATACACATATGAAAAAATGACCCTGACAGTATCCCAGGATGCAGCACCGCTCAGTCTACAGTGCACACGCGATACAGCTGACAGATACTTTTGTGCAACAGTTTTGCACAGATGCACTGCCCCTAATTTTTAATAAAAAATGTTTTTTAAATGTTTTTTTAAAGTAATTCTAATTTACTACCTTTAGTAAAGTAAATGCAACATGGTTATTGGCATACAGAACCTGACTTATAAAATAGAGCCCAAAGTGGATGTTTGAGGCAGATACCAATATCGATATTGGAGAGTTTAAAACGTTTTATGAGGATATATCACCTGCTATTTTGATGTACTGTATGGATAACCTAAATTTGTGACAAGACGAAATGCGAGAAACATTTGACTGAGCAGCATATTTCATATTGTCTGTGCTGGACAAACTATGTAATGGCAATACTGTTTCTAAGCGACGTCGAACATATCTTTCGCATTTCTTCTCTGCAGTTTCATTGTTACTGATCCGTTGACATACTGCATGTGCCGATACCAATGTGTTGGCTGATAATATTGGTCGTGCTGATGTATAGTACCTTTCAACCATCAGTGCCATTGATGGCGTTTGTTGCTAGTCTGTCTGAACTGTGCACCCAGCGGTCTTTGATACCGTTGCTCACCGCGTTTCTCTCTAATTAACAGACTCTTTTATTGAGCGTCCCCCTGTCACACAGCAGGGTGACCATCATATTGTGTCTCCCTGTAGAATGTCATTCTCATGAATAGAGTCAATGTTCATCCTTTCATGTGAATGAAACGGGCCGCGGTGTTAAAACTCTCTTACATGCCCTTAGTCAGTGTCTCTGAGACCAGCTGCAGAGGATTAGAGCTGTGTGTGTCCATGGCTCCCGAGGAGTCCCCCTTGTCCCAACAGATAGCTCCTTTCCCCTTGCCTTTGAGAGTCCAGGCCCCTCCTCCCGTCGATCCCACGCTGGCTGTTTGAAGCGGCCCCCTGCCACTCCGCCTGTGTGGTACTAACAGCACACAGGGCTCAAGCTGCTGGACACAACATTTAGCCTCCTTGTGAGGTCGGGGAAAAGGGGGAGCGTGAGGAGGTCTGAAGGGGAGAGAAAGAGCTGTAGTTTGTTTGGGGGGTGATGGTGGGTGTTTTGTAGGATTTAATTGCCATTTCTAAAGTTTTCACAAGTCTATTCAGAGTTGTCATTAAGCACTGATTCAGCATGCAGGGTATTATACTGTGAAGAAGACTAAGGCAAAAACTGTATTGTCCAGTCTCCTCAAGCAGAAAAGAGAAGGAGGATGAAGCGGATTTGTTTTATCAGATCTTTAAACCATGAACGCCTCGTTTAGATTCAAAGATTTCACGAAATACTCCAACAAAAACGAGTTACAGATAAAAACAACATAAGATAGAACACACAAAATCTGCCACAAAATCAGAATGCAATTTTAAAATCATGAATAAAAACAACTTAAATGGCAGCTTAAAGCAGTTCCCACTAAAAATAAAGCTTGTGAACCCTCATCACTGGTTGTATACATCCTATATGACTACCAGGTAAATCACCCAAGTAGCCAGAGGAAAAAACACACAGTTTCTGCAGCAGTATTTAAATTCACAAAATAATGTATTTATTATGTCAACCTTTTTACTGACACAGGGGATAAACACGCCTCCAGAAGTGATAAAAATGAAGTTAATAAATGCCATGTAGAGCACCTGACAGCTGTTGAATAAGGTTTGAATAAAATGTTTGTAAAATGAAAATTGAAAATGTGAATTTAGTTAAATGCAATGTGGTTTATCTTTGGACCCCTTTGAAGTGGAAATTAGTCTATTAGGTTGGAGGAAACTGAAAAAAATATCTGTTATGATGGTTAATCATTTCTCTCCTCTCAAAGTCTTGCAGAGAAGCTCCAACTTGTGAAATCTACAAGACCACATCTTGACAAGGTATGCTCTTCTGCGACTTTGTCTCGTTTATTCTTTTATTCGTTAACTCCCCGATACTTGCCCTCTATGCCTCTCTTCTAGTTGTCCCTGTTTTTGTTTGCTAATTTATTTCACACATCATTTCCTACAGGATAAAGGGGATGCATTCTCCTCAGACTAACATTGTGTCTTGCATTCCCCCAGGCCGTGACACTGTAGTGAAAACTCCCTCCCTGCTTTGGTTTTTTTGTGTTGAGATCAACTTGAGACTTTTGATGTTTTCTTGTTACACTACAAATAGACCCAGTCTCGGTCATACACCGCAGCATAAACATTCAGTAGACTGGGCACACTGTGTTGGCTAGACTGACTAGAGTCTTAGCCAGTTGTTATGGCTCAACAGTTGTTTGAACTGAATCCAGATGTCATAAAATTTAGTATACACCCCATTTTTCACCATCTAATTAGCAACTAAATGTCACATATGAATGGGACACCTCTAGTGTGCTGTTTTATAACAAAATATAAAGTGTATCCCCAGTATCCAAACATATATTAAGTCCAGTTCAATTATTAAAAATATTTATTCCAGGATTAGTCTCATGCTATTCCTTCTGATGTTTTCATCAGGCCTGAGGACAAATGACTCCTCAAAGCAATTAGGCCTAATCTTGTTTCCAGTTGTGCTTTATACCCATGAACTTTTATCACAGGATGAGGAGAGATGAGGGTTGTTTGTGTGGGTAAATAACGCCATTGTTATCTGTTTTCTCCAGGTTCCCTTTCCCGCATGAAGCTCACCCGTCCCCTCAGACCCCCCCACCCATGTTGCTCTTTTCATGTTAATGAGAATGCTGTTTTTCTGTTGTTATACCAAATGACAAGGGAGTGTGTAACCTTAACACTTCAACACAAAACCCCCAAATATCTACAAAGTGCCCTTTTAATGCTGTAAGGAAGTATGGAGAGAAGAAGAGCGGGGGGGTAGGCAGATAAAGAGGGTTGCCGTTACTGGGTTTCAGGTGCCGAGTGGAGTTGTGGTTTTTGACACGGCCATTGACAAAATCATCAGCCAGGGCGTAAAAACACTTCTTTTGTTTAATGTTCATAATGACTTTGCTGGTTTCAGTGAGCTAAAAATATGTGTTAAAATGTATTTTGAATAAATGTCATCAGTGAACTTTAAATCTTAACAACTGCCTGAAAATATAAATCTGAAAACATAAACGCAGCAATGGAATGCAAGGATTGTACTTAAGTGCAAATTTAGCTTCTTCTGCTTTACCTGAAACTTCCCTACTTCATTTTATGCTAATACAGTACTTCTACTCCACTACATTACACATGTAAATATTGTACTACATAAAACATATGGTCAGTTTATAAAATCTGCATTATTATATGAACAGTATATAAAGTTGTTCAAAGTAGCTCCACCATGACAACATTAAAATGCTGCTTACAAGTTAATGAATATATGTATACATATATATTAACACTTGGAATTTGAAAAGTACACTTTGCTGATGTGCTTTTGAGTGCAGGACTTCTAATTGTAATAGAGTATTTTTTCACTGAAATTTAGTGATATTGCTATTTTTACTCATGTACAAGATGTGAGAACTTTCACCACTGCCTATAACCTGCATCTGTATTTCAGTGAATGAAAAATGTGGGAATGCACTGCAATTCAGAACCACAATTTCCAAAAAATATATATTTCAAACCCAAAAGATGTGCAATTTCTTGTCTATTTTATTTTTCACCCTCAGAGTATTTTAACTGTGACGTTTGAAGTAGCTGGAGATCTTTCTGAGGACACCTTGAATGTCTTTATCCAGGTAGACTCACTCTGCATCGATCAGACCATTCAGTTTTTATCCGTGTTGCCATTACTAATTAGCTCTAGCACAATACAGGCCTTTGTAAAGTAAACACCCATTTCCCACTGTTTCAGGACCTCCTTTGGGAAAAGATGTTCAAAAACAAAGAAGGGGAGCCCATGACTGTCATTCGTTTAAAGGTACAGTAAAGCACAATAGTCACCCCAGTGGCCGCAGTGATCAATATCTGCCACTTTAAAACCTGTATTAATCAGTTCCAAACACTTTATTCAGTGTTGGTTAATGTGTCACTTGTGACTTGTGTGTTTATGTGTGTTTTCAGGGCATAGTATCGTTTGCAGGTAAAGCCCACCAAGTGATGCTGCAGGGGGTCCACGAACTGTATGACCTGAATGAGACTCCACAGCTGTGGGAGGAGAACCCGCGGATCAACCGACTGGTCTTTATAGGTGAACACACACACTTATTTCACATATGTATCTTTACACAATTATTACATGCAACTGTGAAGGCAGCCAGTTCACTGAACTGCATTAAATTGATCAAAATGACTCTTTTTGACAATCTTTTACTAATTTTTTCAAGTAGTGTATCCATTAAAGTTCACTTAATGGAGATAGTGCAGAAACTTTTATTGACAAATTCACGATCAAGTAAATTTCTGATTCTAGCATAAAGTTACATAACTTCTTGGCTGTAAAACTGCACCATCGCTCCACAATTTCCAAAAATGTCCCGAGATTTTTCTTGGAAAGTATGTAATTTGGTACGAATTATTTGGAAAATGGCGACAGCTCGTTTGAAAATTTTCATAATTGCACAGGTCAGATGAACCTTGTCAACACGCAAGCAAAACAAAATGAAGCATAAAGTATTCAATAATAAATGAGTAACAAGTGAATAATTTATTTTTTAGAGGAGATTCTCTGGAAAACAACCACTCAACACAACTAACTTAACTCTGAAAATAAAGTAATCAGATCATAACCTTTTTGCCGTTTAATCCATAGTTAGTGTCTTTCCAGGTAAATTAGGTCGAAGGTTTTTTTGGAGATCTACAACTGACAATGCATATTAATAAAAGCAGCAATAAATAATAATAAGCGCTAATGTCACATATCGAATCAATGGGGTAAATACCTAGGGAAAGAAGAGTATTATTATTTAGTGTTATTTTGTCCTTTTGCATTAGACTGCCATGGCTACATAGACCTGACCTTGAGAACCACTGTCCACTATAATATATAACACAAATGATGTGTGTGTGTGTGTGTGTGTGTGTGTGTGTGTGTGTGTGTGTGTGTGTGTGTGTGTGTGTGTGTGTGTGTGTGGCCATGCTTTTTTTTTAATGCTCATGTTTGTCTGTTCTATGTTCTGCAGGTAGGAATCTGGACAAGGAAATTCTGCTGGAACAGTTTATCTCTAAAGTGGTGCACGGAGCAGAGAGAAATTAGCTACGAACTCTCCCCTCCTATTTGCAGTGAAAACTGTTGATTTTTGATCCAATAAATCTGGGACTGTTTTGCAGAAGGTCGCTCCTTGTTCTTCAAGAACATGAGGTACGTCAGAGGATGTTTATGGTTTCAGGGTGATCAATACAGTAGTTTCAAATTGTGATAATCCATCACTACCTGTTTTAAAAGCTGCAGTACATCGAAGAGTGTATAAGTTGCTGTAGTGCCTGAACTAAATGCTGTGTGTCACCCAGGAAACTTACACTGAATAGGACTTCTAAAATGTGTGCCCCAACAAAGATGCTACAAAGGTCCAGAAATGTGATCAATATGTTGTATTTTTTATAAAAATGGCTTTGTAAAATCTGCTGGTTTTGAAGGTTGGGAGCCCAAGTAGTGTTGGAAGTTACTCACATGCTATGTCAAGTGCTGTACTTTATAAATGAAGTAGCCTTGCTCATGTTTCTGGCTTTTAACATCCTGTTTCTTAAATTATTTCAAAATAAAATTGTTTTTTTCTGAACACCTATGACATACCTAACAAAAAATGTTTTTAGCTATAGTAAAAATGGTTAGCTGACAACAACAGACTATTAACATAACAACAGACACACAGTGCCTTTGTGTTGAAGTGGTAAATTCACTGATACTCAACAAAGTGTGAAACTGCCTCCAAGAGCATTAACACACACTTTTATTGTTATGAAACGCATAGAAAGAGTTTTTAGCTAACTCAAATATTGTTAAGTTTACTAAAATGCCATTATACTTGGTTCTAACTATTTTTCAGACATTCTGTATTATTTTGATCTACCTAGCCGCCCATCTGAAGAGGGTTACTCTTTAAATTTATTCAGCTTTCCATTACAGTTCAAAAGCTGTGTTTAATGTTAAGTTGAAAACTTCCCAATGAGAGTTTTGATATTAGTAATTATTTTAATACTTTTTAAATTTAATATCCTGTCATTTGCCTTGTTTCAAACTACTGACTTTTTTGCAGCTGTGTGTATGAGGTGCTATTACCCCGCACCTGCAGCTTCAATTAAGTTTATGCTTGTAATACTTTACAACTTGCAGCCATTCTATTTTCTGGTATGTGTTACTTTAGCCTTTATTGGTACAGTCATGTGAGAACCATTTCTCACACACAGTAGGCCCAGTCAGGTGACAAAATAGGTGGAGTTTTCCCAACTCGTTCATTTGCAATGGAGATAGTTTAGCAGCACGTTTTATCACATGTCCGCTGTTGGACCGGTTTGCTTTGAGGATGGCTCTGCTTATTCATCCCGGTCGTAAAGCCGAGCTGAGTACTGTAGCCCAGGGCGCACCGTGCAGCTGAGCCGTTTCCTACTCGATTCTGATGCTGATGGCCTCGTTAAGGCGACTATTACCTCTTTTCTCTGCTGGCTGCGGGAAGCCCTACCACGGCCATTTTCATGGTCACACCACCCGCGGGCATCCAGAGGTGGCAAACTAAACGAACCCGCGGGGGTCTGAAGGGGGAAACACTTTGTTTCTTATCACGGGCTAGGCGTGGTTCCCAAGAACATCCCACCTCCGACTGCGCTGCTGAACCAGTTGTAATATCACATGATCCAAATATCAAGATTTAACTTTATCCTCATATACATTTATGTTGGTAGCTTGTACACATGTCAGACACAGGACAATGTCTACATCGGGCTCACAGCGGTGCACACCGACCATTGTGCACGTGTTTACGAGTTTAAAAATAAAACAGCAAAATAACACCATAGTGATTTTGGTCATGTGCAGATCCTTTACGCATCAATGAATGTTTTAATAAAATTATGTCTAAACTTTAAAGCAGTAAGCTTTCATGTTTGCCTTTATTATTTTAGAGATTTTCTTTTATGTAGCCATTTCTGCTGGCACACACTTTAACCGTTTGGCAATTGAAATTAAATGCCTAAAACGTTGCCGTATTTTACATGTACAACAAATTGCCATCTATAAACTGGGCCGTGCGCACTTCAGTACTCCCCAAGTCCCCCACCCCCCACCCCCCTCGCACCTGTGTGCTTGCCTTCTCCGGCTCCCCGGGGTGAGGGGACCATTCTGATAGGACCAAAGGGTTAATGGGACTGGCCTGCAGGGCAGCCGCCTTCCAGCATATAAAGCCTCAGCTTCCATTATCACAGCAAACAGCCACCAGGTTCAAGAAGAAGCAGACGGTACATGCGCCTTTACGCGTGAATAGGGGCCTTTTTGCTTTTTACGCACGGCGAATCATTTATGTCACTTTGGCAAAGTTGAGTTTGTAGGCGTTTTTGAACACTCCGCGAGTGACCATGACTCTCTCCAGTGAATTTGAAGCTTCACAACACGCTGCTTTGCCTCTAGATGAAGATGAGATTGACATAGTGGGCGAGGATGAGCCTACCCACGGGCGCTTATATCGAAATGAGTGCTCTACGGACCCCGGCTCCTCAGCAGAATCTGGTGCTGAATTTGACTCTTCGGAGCCAGACTCCTCGGGGGAAAGCGAGAACAGTTTCTGCGCAGACGCACCGCTGTCTAGGAAAGCCCAAAGCAGCTCAGTAAAGCCTCCCTACTCCTACATTGCCCTCATCACCATGGCCATCCTGCAGAGCCCGCTGAAGAAGCTGACGCTGAGTGGCATCTGTGACTTCATCAGCAACAAGTTTCCCTACTACAGAGACAAGTTCCCCGCTTGGCAGAACTCCATCAGGCACAACCTCTCCCTCAACGACTGTTTCATCAAGATCCCGAGGGAGCCTGGAAACCCGGGCAAAGGTAACTACTGGTCTCTGGACCCTGCTTCAGAGGACATGTTCGACAACGGCAGCTTCCTTCGGCGAAGGAAGCGCTTCAAGAGAAACCACCCGGAACTTGGCAAAGACGGACTTGTGTTTTATTCCAGCTTGAACTGCTATCGGCCGTACGGGCAACCATACTGCTTACAGGGCCAGGTAAGCCCCCCGCCCGCTGCTCCTATCCGGTACATGCCCCTGCAGGAGGGCATCATGATGCCTCCCTCTTCCTATCAACTTCTGCCACATACTCTGAACAGTCACGGGAAATGCAGTGGGCCTAAAGACTTCAGAGCGCCGCACTGCGCCGAGCCGAAGCCTGGCCCGCAGGCAAAGTGCTCTTTCAGCATTGAAAGCATCATGAGCAAACCCTCTCCCATCAGTCCACAGAACCCAAATCCACAGCAGGGCCCTCACGGCGCTCTTGGGTACGGTCATCTCATGTCGGGCCCTGCTGCCTCTTTGGTTCCGACGCTCCTGCAAGTTCCTAGGACTCCATTCTGCCCTCCCGCCATGCTGAGCACTGCTCCTTTAATAAATGAGCATCTCAGACTCTCTTACCCTCACTGCTGAAGTATTTGGTTGTAAGGAACAGTGTCTGTATGTGTGATGCTACGTGAAGACACGCTGGCGTAGCTCATTTCTTAAAGAAATGTTTTAATTGCATGATATTTATGTGCGTTGACATTCAAAGTAAATCAATGTAAATAAGATGAGTGGTAATATATTTGTTGTGACACTTGCTGCAGTGGAAACTCTTGTTAATGAATGTGTTTTTGTTATTAACGTGTCAAAATAAATGTCTTGAAAATAACTGATGTTTATTGTTTAAAGCTCTTTATTTGCAGTTTGTACAGAATTATGTGGGTCGGGGCGCAGTGGAATTAGCCTATAAAAGAAAAATAATTTAACAACAGTATGGAAAAATAAATCACCTGATATTAAGGCTTGTTTTTCCATATCGGCTAGTCAAAACAATTATTTTTTTCTTTCATTTGATTTTCTTATTTTGAGAGGAACTAAGAATGTTTCAAAAGAAAGTTTAGTTAAAACAGAAAGCAGACAGTTTAAAGTATTTAGTTGTCTCCCAAATTCACTAAATCTCACCATTATCATAATTCAAACAATGCAGGCATACATAGCGTTTGTTATTAGCTACTTAAATTAGGCTATTTTTAAAAGTCGACTCGTCCTTAACCCCCGTTTAAATAATATAGGCCTATTAAAATCAATCGTTTGGCTGTTATGAAGGTCTAATAATTGAGATAAAACGTTGAAAATATAAACTTTAATGTGTTTTTTTTAAACCAGCAAATCAATAAGGATGATGCCAGCACATACTTTAAAGTTGCAGGAGATAACGGTCTAAAAAAAATGATAGGCCTACTGTTATTGTTCACCTTTTCAAAGAATAGCAAATACATCATCCATTTATTTATTCATCTTCTTTCATTTGACACATTGAAACATTTGATGTGTAAGGGAAGCACGATCCCATTTCTCAAAATGAATAGTTTAAAATGATTAACGAAAGTAAAAAAAACAAAACAAACAAACATTAAAATATCTGTTCAGATAATATTTATTTGTGAGATGAAACATAAGCGCTCTTTTTAACCATAAGAGAAGAAAAGTGCACTTCTTCCTTCCTGCCTCAAGGTCGCACTGTTTACCAAATATTGGAGCAGACACAATGCAGACTGAGATTTCCGGCGGTTACCTTCCCTACTCCTGACATGAGATTGCAAGCTGAAAATTTCCATGTCACAGATTTATTTACTTCTTGCGTTTAAAGCCATACCAAAAGCATAGCCTAATCCAAGAACCTGCAGGAGAAAGCGAGATGTGCAACTGAAGATCCTGAAACAAATATGGCTCAAATGAAAAAGACAAGCTTTGTTATAGGAGGGAGTGAAGTTCTGCTCAGTGGGCTGTCATTTCCCACTTATAAAGTAACTACAGTCCCAGCTTATGCCTTCATACCGGACAGTGTAGCCAGCACAGACACAGGCAGTCTCCGGTTGCAGATCGGTCACGACACAATTCCCCTCTGCCATCAGCCAAAAGTCTATTTTTGGCCTGAGGCTCAGCTGATTGTGGGCCTTGAAGATGTTGGCCCTCCCTGATTTTTTTTTCTTGTAGTCAGTTGTTCGGGCTTATTAGGAAAAGAGGGAGTTGTCGAACAGCAGAGGACAGCTTTGCTGAATGTTGAGTTCAGCAGGCTATAGGCCAACTGAGGGATGCAGCTCTCTAGGCTGTAACATAAGTTGCCGAGGTGAGTTCATTTTTCTTTATAGCCAATTCATCACTGCGTGGGGCTGCTGTCACTGCTCTCCTCCTCAGCAGAGAAGAACAACTGTAACATCACTTCACAGGCTGACAAAGTCCTTCTTTGGGCTGTTTATTCGCCAGCCCTAGGCTGCTTTTACTCTGTGGACGGATACCACCAGAAGCAAACTTCAAAACTAAACTTCAGGTTGCTTGATCGACGTCCTCCCGTTGGGTCCCGACGAGGAGGATGGAGACGAGCCCCATCCCGGTGGTGACGGTCCAAACCGCCCCCTTCGACGACCAACGGCCCGGTACCAACGGTCTGCGGAGGAAGACAGCGGTGTTCGAGGGGAAGAAGAACTACCTGCAGAACTACATCCAGAGCGTGTTGTCCTCCATCGACCTGCGGGACCGACAGGGTTGCACCATGGTGGTGGGCAGCGACGGCCGCTACTTCAGCCGAGCTGCCGCCGAGGTGATAGTGCAGATGGCCGCTGCCAACGGGGTAAGAAGGGAGGGGGCGACCACCAGTCTTGACTTACAGAGACGGTCGTGCATTCATCAACATATTGGAAACACTAATCGTGCTAATTATTTTTCATTCAGTAAAAAAGTGTAGGCTATTAAAGTAGGCCTACCAGGAATTGTGTATGCATGTAAACATTTATGAAAACGAAAAAAAGCTGGTAAATCCAAATGTGATTTTGGCTCCTTGTCCTTGCACTGGAGAACAAAGGTTAAATATACTTGCCTAGAATGATTATGAAAGTTTTGCCTAAGGAAGCACATTTTGGATTCAGGTGTGAATGCTGTAGCCCAACGGTTCCCAATCTAAGGGTTGCCACACTTTCCCCCCTAATCTTTGCCTTTTGCTACTATTACTAGGCTACCGTTTAGCTTTACATCTACAGGCCTTTAACACTATGAAAGACAGAGAATTCAACTTCTATCACAGTCATGCAATCACTCCTCACACAGATGGAAACATGAACCTTTCCCTTTAGGTGAAAGACTAATAATCTGTGGTATTATCACATGCAAACTTGTCACCCACCCAAAACATGTCTGAACTCTTGTAAGTGTCAGCAGCAGATAGGCCTAAATGAGAAGAGGAAGACAGAGAGGAGGAAAATCCCCAGAGATCATTTAAAATGCTCACTCTGAGATCATTGTGATTGGTTTGGACAGGTTCCAAAGGAAAATCGGAAGGGAATTTAATTTGTTTTTTAGATCAGTCAGTTTTTCTGCTGGCCCAGCCAAGTGTCTCTTGATGTCGGCCTTATCAGCACTTCCATCCATCCTGTTCTATTTTCCTGCCTACTTACTTTCCCCCATCTCCCACTGTTCCACCTCTCTCAGGCCAAACTTTGGGGATCCCCTGTCAAATAGCATTGAACCAAGAGTCATAATATGGCAACACTTGAAGATAAACCACCCAGTGCATGTACTATCCCTCTTACACTACTGAATACAATCTAAACATAGAGGGAACTAACAGATTAGAGTAGTTCTTAGGTTATTACACATAGTACCATGAGTACAGAGTACATTTGTTAGGGTTTTCTCTCATTTTCCTCGTCTGTCCATTATATACGCATGCAACATGCTGGATGTTAAGAGGATACACTGACGTCAGGAGAATAAATTCCTCTCCAGTGAGAACACTTTTATTTAGAATAGCTGATATGCAGGGGAATTATGGGATGATGGTGGTATTACCACTTTAAAAGTAGCATACAAATTATAAATAGAGAGGGCAGCTCTGTTATTTAGGCACCCTCTTGGGGCAGATCATTTTGCTTTTTAAAGTGAGCTGTCAATTAGTCACCTGTAGAATGATGAGATACTTTGGGCCAGCGTTGCTTTTGGTTCCGGTAACACCGATGGGCTCTGATGTTTACTGTGCATTCGGGAAACATCCAAGACAGCCACAAAAGAGAGTAGACCCCTAAACTTTCAAGACAATTCTAGCTTATCAGAAAGCATTATTTCAATTGGATCCTGGATTGACCTGCAGCTGACATTGCTCCTTGTTATTATCTGTGTTGTGCAGATTGGTCGTCTGGTAATCGGACACAATGGCCTCCTGTCCACTCCTGCTGTTTCCTGCATCATCAGGAAGATAAAGGCTATTGGTGGGATCATCCTCACAGCTAGTCACAACCCTGGAGGCCCCGGTGGAGACTTTGGAATCAAGTTCAATGTGGCAAATGGAGGTGAGCACTGAAAACGAGTGCTGGTTTTCTTATTTTTCCATGTTTCTTCTTCCTATTGAGATTTTTTTTAAGTTTAAGGTAAAGGTTTGAAACCATCTATACAGTCAGTGATGTTGTTTATGTTTTTTACCAGACATACATGAATGCTAGTGTGTGGTAAGTTTACACATATTGATTGTATGTCTGTCTTTGTGTGGTAGGCCCATCTCCAGACACTGTGATGGAGAGAATCTACCAGGTGAGCCGGACGCTTGAGGAGTATGCCATCTGTCCCGATCTCCGCATTGACTTGTCCAGGCTGGGAAGACAAGAATTTGACCTGGAGAACAAGTTCAAACCTTTCAGAGGTGTAATATTCACTCACTTACTCACTTGTTACAAAAGAGCCAACTAGAGCGCTGACCGATATGGGCTTTTTAAGACCAATATAGATTTTGATATTTGAGGATTTTAAAATTCAATGTTCCAATAAATTAAAAAATAAGATTGGCAGATATAATTATTTTCTTCTTTTCAGAAACACATAACATAAACAAAGATTATCTCTAACATTTGTTAGGTATGTTTAGAAACCTCACCAAAATAACACGACATAATGCAGTTTAAAAAATAGTAAATAGTAGTTTGAACAAAAGTACAGCTGATTACGTCAGCTGATTGCTCTGTTTTGTGGTGAACACCTGTTACCAACAAAGGAGTTCCCCCTGGTAGACAAACTATGCAAAACCAACACTCATGACATGATTGAAGGATCTGTCTTCCATGTCTTTGTTTCTTTTTTAATTGTCATGAATCAACTGTTTTAAACAACGTTATTGATTTATCCACGATTAGCTCATATCGGCTGATAATATCGGCACGCCAATTGACCCTTCGCTAAGCCACGCCCCTCCTTAGTTACTGTGGACTTTTAGCACTCTTTATTACTGCACTCCCTGGACAAATATTGTGTAATTTTTGGGAAAAACAATCTCAGAGAAAGAGACGGCTTATGGTAGAGAAATTTACGTTCAGCTCACAGGCAACAGCTCTGGTGGACATTCCTGCAGTCAGCATGCCAATTGCACGCTCCCTCAAATCTTGCAACATCTGTGGCATTGTGCTGTGTGATTGAACTGCACATTTTCGAGTGGCCTTTAATTGTGGCCAGCCTGAGGCACACCTGTGTAATACCCATGCTGTCTGATCAGCATCTTGATATGCCACACCTGTGAGGTGGATGGATAATCTCAGCAAAGGAGAAGTGCTCACTAACACAGATTTTGACAGATTTGTGAACAATATTTGAGAGAAATAGGCCTTTTGTGTACACAGAGATAGTCTTAGATCTTTGAGTTCAGCTCCTGATGAATGGGGGCAAAAACAAAAGTGTTGCATTTATAATTTTTTTCAGTGTAAATTTGAAAAGTGGTAGGTGGTACATAAATGCCCGTCAATGCTTTTAACTGCACATTGTGTCTACATAGCTATTCTGAACTGATTAATTATTTATGTACATGACTGTACTTACTGATAGCACACTGGTATTTGCAGAACTTCTTTATATCACAAATGCATACAACCAAACAAACAAACAAACACATTACCATCCTGTACTAACCGCACTGATCTAATCGTCTCCTCTCGTCTGTGTTTCTAGTGGAGATCGTAGACTCAGTTGAGGTGTATCTACAACTTCTGCGAAACATCTTTGACTTCAGTGCCATTAAAAGTCTTCTCACAGGATCAGATCAGCTCAAGATACACATAGATGCCATGAACGGAGGTGAGACAATTCATCATCTACCTGACATAGCCCCCGAGCTGTTAATGTTATTGGAAATTGAACTGTTTTTCCTCTCTTCTCCTCTCCTTGACTCGCCGCTTTCCTTGTGTTGTGTTACAGTGATGGGCCCCTACGTACGTAGGATCCTGTGCGATGAGTTGGGAGCTCCTGCTAACTCTGCTGTCAACTGCGTCCCTCTGGAGGACTTTGGTGGCCGACCTCCAGAGCCTAACCTGACTTACGCCACGTCTCTGGTAGACGCCATGAAAGGTGGTGACTTTGGCTTTGGAGCTGCATTTGATGCAGATGGGGTAAGACATCTGATGTTTACACAGTATAACCACTGTTAAATAAATGTGATAAGAGTGGGCAGTATGCTAAAAGGTAGATTGTAGATGTACTTTATGACATTGACATTGTTGATATTTGTTGATAATACACCATGAATACATAAAATCAATAGGACTGTCATAGATACTTGTCACAGTGGTAACATTATTTTTAAATCTA